AGGAAGACGTTGAATTCATGTAAACTCAAAGTGCAAAGTTGATTGTAAATGATTTTTGTCATTGTATGAAGAACGCTGTAAACAGGACTTTGTGGACTTACGTAAATCCAAACCATAGGTACTTGGTATGTGAGAAGCTTAAGGTAAATTAATGCAAAAGAGACTGACAAGTTTATGAAATTATGGTTTATTTTGATTTAATTTGAGTTTCGCCCTTGAATTTATGATTTAGGGTTAGGATTATGATTTTCAATTTTAGGGGATCTGGATTTCTATGTTTGATTAATATTTGGCTTCAACTAAATTTAGGATTTAGGGTTAGAGTTTCTATTCAATGAGGGAATCTGATTTATGAATTAATTAAAGTGTTTAGGATTAGGGTTGAATTAAAGATTTAGGGTTAGTGTTATTAATTTAATTTTTATGTACTTAAATAATTTTTTTCTTTCAAAGAGGTTGGAGGTTGCAACTACCGTATTTGGATTGATCCTCCAATGTGTACAAGATCTCGACAGATTATCCCGAGACTTCGAAAACGAATCCATCACCTTGAAGAGGATTAGGTACGCAAAAATTGTACAGAGCATATCATGTTGGTTTGTGCTACTTGTGTCTTGGTTTTATTTGCACAATTAATGTAGAAAGTTGTGTTGTGATGAATTCAAGTAGTGTTATGCATTTCAATACATTGTTAACTATCTTTGTAAAATAAAAATAGATATTTGTTGCATTTCATATAAGTAGGGTGTGTGATGGACATTCACATAAATAAGAATCTATAAAGACAACAATAGATAACAATAGACTGTAACTCAAACTTGGTGCTAATAAACGAGGCTTCTATACATTAACAATGACTTTTATAGTCCAACAAATTACTTCGAGTACCCATAAACCATAAACCATAAACATAACATCAAGGTACCTTATCTACATAAACAAGTTTCAACACAAGTACAAACCATCAAGTTCCAAAATAGCTAAGTTTCATCAAAGTTTTACAAAATATTTGTAACACGAGCATAGATACTCATTGTTGCCTACAATAAGGCACTATAACCATAGAGTGTTAGGTTTTATAAGGAATGTCGATCAATGTGCATAATCAAATATTTAAGAATTTAATCCCAAGTGCAAAGGATGTAAAGTTAGGATTAGAATCTTACAGTTTAAAAACTTTTGTCGACTCTGAGTCAAGAGTAACTGTCTACGGGACCGCGTGAACTGTTCACCTTTTGATCTTTTGTTTTATGTCTCGACACCTCTCCGAATTCATCTTTGTGGGAGACGTATTTCTCGAATATCCCTCAACCTCACATGTGAACACAAGCCTTGGAAAAGAAGAAAGAAGACCTTGTGTTTTAGAAACACCATCTCTCTCTTTATCTCTTAGATGTTCCGATTTTTCTCTCCAAAATGTATTCCCTTTGGAGTGGCCGAGATTTTGAGAATCATTATGTGTTTGGTTTATTGGAATTTGGTGTATTTATAGACTATAACAAAAACTCCAAGAAGGTGTTAAATATGGACTTCTCATAGGATTGTGAAACTTAGGTTTTGGTCCACCTACACGCTACACCTAATCCATATGAATAATATGTTAGTGTATACAGTAAAAACATGGTTTTTTGCGTTACAAATACTATTTTCGATTGAATGATAATCATGTTCAATTAAACACTTATATGTTCTAATGTTTTACATTTAGATTATTATGGTTCATCACGGATGAGTAATCGTGTTTAATTATGGTTTAAGTAAATCGAGTAACTAATTGGGGCCTTAAATGTAATTTGAGAGTTAAATAATATTTTGTTAGTGAACTTAAATTAAATATCATCTGAGTGTGAATGGAGTGAACCAGGCGCATAGTTGGATCTACACTTGGGGAGCCTATATTTAACACATTCTTAGGGTCTCTGTTGTAGCACATAAATACATCCCTTCTGGTGATGTTCCACACGCCTACTCCTATAAGAACATATATTGCACACGACTTTATGAGTTTTGTGAGATTTAGAACATCATTGGATATCTTCGAGCTTGTCGCCCACCGAGACGAACAAAGAGGTGTTGGAATATACAACAAAAGTCCCCGAGGTAAATCGAGGCATCATTACCACCGCACGAAGTCCCGTGACCACCGGAGATCCCCAACGACCACCACACAACCACCGCATGTCAACCGCGAGGAGCCCCAGCCACATGTGAGGAACCGCTGAGGCCAGGCGAACACACGTGGCGACCCAACGAGACACGAAATAGCCTCGTGACCAGGCACGCGCAGAAACAACCAGGTGTAACCCAGCGACGTAGGCGATCAGCGCACGAAACCCGGCCAATAGTAGGACGCGGCATGGGGCACGCGACGGTCAGCAACCCGACACACGACATCGACGATCCAGTAGTGACGGAGACACATACAACCAAGATGAGGCGATTAGACGTGGTTAGAAGACGTGTTTTGTAACCGTTAAGAACTTTGATCCAAATAATATGTCATTCTTCTCCCAAATTCTTCATATCAAACTGTTTGGACAAGCGCACCTTCATGCCTGACAATACAATTACACAGTTTCTATACCTTCAGGTCTGAAAATACCTTTACATTATTCTCAATGAGAAAGATATCATCTACTTATAGTACAAGAAATACAACCATCGTTTCGTCACTTTGGTTGTATATACAGTGCTAATCCACACATTGAATGAATTCATACGACTGGATCACCTCATCAGACCGGATGTCCCAAGACCTCGAAACTTGTTTCAGTCCACAAATGGACCGCTTTAGCTTACAAACAAATGCTCTTGGTCATTTTCAGTGAATCCTTCTGGTTGCTGCATATAGATGTTTCTCTCAATACTTACATTTAACAAGAACCAGGAAAGCTTGGAAAGTGGTGGTTCATTTTCCTTCTTGTCAATCGTACTTGTTAAAGGTTTTTGGTCGTACAGTGTCGGTATTTGTTTGGACTTTTATTGTTTCTTCCTTTTGTATATCTAGAAAGCTTACAGGTTTATTTTGTGGCCATTTTTTTTACCCCTTGTGTGTCCTTTGTAATTTCAATGTGTGTACTCTTTTCATTCAACAATNAAGTTTAATTTAGATAATTTCGCTTTTAGTATAACATTTTGTCAATTTGAATCAAACAATTTTTTCAAAATCTAATTCAAATTTTAGCTCAACTCAATTCTCATTAATATTATTAATATAATTAAATAGTTTCACTCAATCATAATTACATATTACATTAATATTAATCCATTATCCATTTACTCATATATTTAAATTATTCATCATTTCAACAAATTCTCTCATACTTTTATATCACATAAACTTTTAATTATTAAATTTTAAATATTTATATAAATAAATTTAAAATTTTATTCAAACATAATCCCATCATTTTTTTAAAATTAATTCTCTTTAATCAATAATTTATATCCACTAAAAATTAGCCATACTTCATCGTTTTCTCCACCTAAAACAAGCAAAAGAGCGAGCTTACATTCCTAAATTTCGGAAAACAAATCTGACCAAAAGAACAAAAGAGGAGCCAACAATGGAGACGAGCCGAGCTGAAGCGGAGCGTCTCCTTGGCATCGCCGAGAAGCTCCTCCGTAACAAGGACTACGGCGGCTGCAGGGACTTCGCCATTCTGGCTCAGGAGACGGAGCCGTTGCTCGAGGGCTCCGATCAGATCCTGGCTGTGGCTGAGGTCCTACTGGCCGCTGATAACAAGCGGCTCAGCATTAGCCAGCCGGATTGGTACGCCGTTCTCCAGATCCCGCAGCGGACCGAGGAAGCCGATGTGATCAAGAAGCAGTACCGGCGGCTCGCGCTCCTCCTCCACCCGGACAAGAACAAGTTCCCCTTCTCCGACTCTGCTTTCCGGCTAGTAGCGGACTCGTGGGCCGTGCTCTCAGATCCAACCAAAAAGGCGGCCTACGACGGCGAATTAGTCTCCCGATTCACCAAGGTAGATCTCGTCGCCGCGAAAAAGCAGCAGTTTAATCAACCGAAAAGGCAGCAGGAGGCTAGGGGAGACAACTCGCACCAGAAGCTTCCCGTCCGCCGCAGCGCGAGAGGTACAGGCGGCGCCTGCGAAGGCTCCACCGCCGCTGCCGCCGCCGCCGACGGAGGTGCCGGTGCTGGAGTGAAGGAGACCGCCAGCGCAAACCCTAGCTTGGCGGGGAACTTCTGGACGGCATGCCCTTATTGCTACAATCTGTTCGAGTACCCAAGGGTTTACGAGGGCTGCTGCGTGAGGTGTGATAACGAGAACTGCAGGAGGTCTTTCACGGCCACCCCAATCCTTTCTATGCCGCCCATGGTGCCGGGGTCCGAGGCTTATTACTGCTGCTGGGGGTTTTTCCCCATGGGGTTTACGGGAAAGGGAAATGAGCTTCCAAAATGGATGCCGCCAATGTTTGGGGACAGTGATGTGACAGCAGCACCGAAGCCACAGGCAGCTCCGATCAATACCCCATCTCCACCTCCATCTACTCATACTCAGCCACAGGCAGCCCCAACCCATTCCCCACCTCCACCTCCATCTACTCAAACTCCGCCACAGCCACCGCAGAATGCACCACCAGTTGCAGCTGTGAGAAAGAGGGGCAGGCCAAGGAAGAATGTCTAGGTTTGTTTTCTGATTGATCCTCTGTTTGTTGGTACATTGAATGGATAAGTAAAGGGATTGATTTCGAACTTTTTAGCTATGTAAGTGTAACTTCTTCGGTACGTGGGGGGTTGTAGTGGTCTTGTTCTGTAGTCTGTACTATAGCTGTATGTGGGTTGCTTCTCATAACTGAATGCTGTGGGAATGAATTTATGGAGCTTTTCATCTCGATTTTTCACAATTTTTTTTATTTGTTTGTGGGTCTATGTTTGTTATTGTTTAGTATCATACTTGCATCCTTGAGTGGAAATGATTTTCCTGCTTAGCACTGTTCAATCATTTGTTTTAGCCTAACTATATGATTTGTTTGATGTTTTTGGTTTAACACTACTGCCTGCCTGTTAAGCCATTTGGTTTGGCGGTGTTGTTCACTTTGTTGTTTGAGTTTTGATATCTTTCTCTGTCGGTTAGTGTCTTGAAATTGTATGGCCGTAGAAATTGCATTTGTAACCACCATAAGAGCAAAGGCTGATCCTGACTTCTACTCTCATAGCAGTGTTCTTTAAAATTATGTTGGGCAGTATAGACAGCCTTCTAGGAGCTCGAGCAATTACTGCGGACCATACAGCACTTAGTCCTGGCAGATGAGAAGTTAGTTCCACCTGGGCTGTATTTTTTATTTTTATTTTTTAGTTTATATAAAACTATAATGATACGTGTTTTGATTTTTGTATAGTGAATATAAAATATTATAAAATAAAAAATAAGTAATAATCATGTTAAAATCAATACAATAGTTATGAATAAGTTATATTTTGGACAATTTTTGTATTTGATCTTTAGAATATTTTATATAATGTGTATTGTGAATTATGTACAATTATACATATATTTAAATTTATTAATATTCTTTCAACCTGTCTAAACTTCATGTACCCCAGCCTCAGCCTGCTAGCCAACAATTATAACATTGCTCATATAGATCAAGGAATTTCAGGTATGCTTGCTTAGGACGTAAGTTGCAAATATCCAACTAGAGCCACCATATCACATAGAACTTAGAAGTGACGTTTTTACCATCTGTTGCCTTAGCTCACGCATTTTGTTACTTCACTCCATTCCATTTGTCGTCCTCAAGTTTTATGGCCTTTTAGTGTATTAGAGGAAAATAGATCATAATGGCATAATTGGTATAAAGGAATGACAAGGGAATGGAATTGCTCATTCCTAATCTCATGATTGGTATATTTTTTAGGAATGAATGACCATTCCAATAGGAATAACAAAACTCATCTCCATGGGATTAGCCATTCCATAGTAAATGAAAAGTTTTCTCATTCCCATGTGTGTAGGAATTAATTTTTTAAAAAATAAAATTAACAAATAATAATAAAAAATAAATATATAATATATATTATAAATCATGATTAAAATATATTAAATAAAATCATNTCATCTCTTTCCTTTCTTTTCTCCCCATATCTTTTATATAATAAAATAAATAGATAAATTTATTTTTTATATAAAAGTATATATTATAAAATATATTCATTTTATATATACAAGAATGTCGAGACTTGAGAGAAAACAATTAATTCAATATATCATATATGAAAAATATTTTTGGTTTTTCCACGGTAAAGTAAGACCAAACTCATGAACTTATTATTCTGGCAACATTCTTGTATATATAAATCAAATATATTTTACAATATCTACTTTTATATGAAAAATAAATATATCTATTTATTTTTTATTATATAATAAAATATCGTATCAATTGTCGAGGGTAATTAAAAAACCAATAATTTATTATTAAAGAATTGTTTGAAACCAATAACTTCATGCGTGAAACCCGTCCCAACTTATGTGAAAGATGGGCTGACGATGGGCCCATTAAATCAATAACGAAAATATGCCCCACTTAACTGGACATGTGTCAGCTTGCAAATGCCCCTTTTTGTTGCTTGATTCTACCGTTTCCAGACTATCATTTGAACTGTAAATGATTATGTGTGCGTTCAAACATATAATTTTAAGCAACCAGCTACCCAATTATTTATTTGACCGTTAATTTTTTTTAGAAAAATGCTACATTATTATAATTAGATTGTCAATACAAGTGAAAATATTCACTTGTGTATTTTTTTTTTATTTTTTTTAATGTTTTCACTTGTGTTGTCAACCTAGTTGTATATTATGTTGGCAATGTAACATTACTCTAAAAAATAATATATCAGGGATGCGTGACAACATCTGAGCGGTTAGCAACATGCATGGTGACACGTGTCTCAGCAAGTTGCAATCGACTTCCCCCACTTGGGCAACTGGCTTATCCTTTTGGGTTCCACCGATTTTGGGCGGCAACTCTTTTCACCTTAGCTCAGGGTTGAGATCGGTTGTGCTAAGATCGACAACGAGGAGGGGCCTTGCTTTTGGCAGATTTAGGCATGGTTACATCATAGCTTGGAACGAGTTGACGTCTTTCGTCTTGGTTGAGGTGCTTCTTGATATCTTTTACTTCGGGGATGTTGTCCATGTAGATTGCATCGTACTCGTCTGATGGGGTTTGATTTTGGTAGGGAATTTTTGAGTATCAAAATCTAGTTTGATGAAATTTAATATTATTTATATATTTATTTTACTTCAATTAGATTTTATTTTATTCATTAAACCATATTTTAATTTTTGTGTTAACCATAATTTTATATTTATATTTTAAATTTATTATATTTATATGTTATGTTTATTTTAAGTTACCAAAGTTTATTTTAATTTATTATTAATTTTATTATTATATGTCGTACTTGTCTTATTTTAATTTTTCTAATTTAATAAAATGTATTTTAACTATTCAATTTTATTATTATTATTTTTTTAATTTAACATTTTTTTTTAATTTATATTATTCCTCCTTATTAAATTTTTTAACTATGTATTTATTTCAATTTATTTATTTGGTAGTTATATAATAAAAATTGTTGTATTATCATTGCTAAGTTGGGTTGGCATACTGGTTTGAGGAATTGTCTTTCCACTGGACGATCAGTTGTTCAAAAAACCCTACAAGTGACAAAATTTTCACTTTTCCTAATAAAGTCACGAGGATATAATGGTAACTTAAAAAAAAAAAATCTTTTTGCTTAACAAGTGGTACATTTTTCAGTTTGCTTAAGAGCATCTTCAATGCTATAAATGTGAAATACTATTATTTTTAACCCATGTCAATTAGTGATTGTAATTTTAATCCATATTGGAATAAGGTTAAAAGACTAGAAATTTCAATGAAACTAGTATCTCCAATGCATCAATTTGATAAAAAGTTATTTGTATAGGTGGACCAATTAAATAATTCATTGATACAAAAAAAAAATAAAAAATTAAAACAAATATAAAGTAAATTGATGAATCGTCATGTTTAACATGGTGTTAGATATCAGAAAGTGTGCTCAACATTGTCAACATTAAATGACATCCACCTCATCATGAAAGAGTTCATGACAAAATGCATTGGAGAAAAAAATAGAGATACACTTTCAAAAGTTGATGATATAGATGACTTTTTATAATGTCAAAAGATGCATTGTGGATGCTCTAATAAATTCACAGATGATATAATGGTAAATTACTAAAATTTTTCATTTTGGTTAAGTCACAGAAGGTATAATGGTAAATTACTAAATTCTGTTAAGTAAAAAATCAATAATATTCATATAAGCATCAATAATATTCATATAAGCCGTGCGTGCACTATTATCTTTGTCGAGAAGGAAAACCGTGTAAGCAAAAACCTAAATATAAATGGGTTTCACAACGCTTGCAAGGAAGGGTGAATCATGTAAGCAAATGCCTTGTTTGGTAATTAGCGGTTAGCTTTAGCAGAAAGCAAATTGTAATAACTGTTTTGACCAGCTGTTAGCAATAGCTGTTTTGACCAGCTGTTAGTATAATGAAATGAAATTTGATAGAAATGGAATGAGTTGAAAAATGAAATGAATATGAGAAATGAATGAAACAAGTTTTGCCATTTATGTGTTTGGTATGCAGAAGGAATAAAACCTGAATGGAATGACGCTATCATTCTATATTATCATTTATCACTATTTTATAGAAAAAATATTTATATTAATGTTATTTTATTTATGATAATAATAAATTTATTTTATTTCTTAAAAAATATACTATATTTTCATGTTGTTACACTCATATATATTATATAATAAATTAGTGAATTGTACGTATTAACTAATACAAATGTATTATTACATAAAATCCAATAAGCATATGTGGGCCAATATAATATTTTATATTATAGTTCAATTCATGAATAAATGTATAATATATATGATGTATAAAAATAAAATAATATCTTTTTATATTATTTACAAATGCATTTTTTCAGTTTTATTTTTACATAAGATGGTTTGGGCATGCGTGTAGGATAGACTACGAGATCCAGGTGAGAAGGGTATAAAATTATAATTAAGAACGCAAATTAAAAAGGGAAAGGATAGTCCTAAGAAATCTTGGAAGAAACAATAAAAAATGATTTAATATCTAAGTTTGAATGAAGATATGTGTTTCGATCAAACACGATGGCGACATGCAATCTATATAGCCTACCCTGATATTTTAACGGCTTGTTATTGTTCTTGTTGTTCTATATGTATTTAATATATCTAATTAAAATATGAACAATAAATGAAAATAAGTTTTTAATTTTTTATTTGAAATTTATTTGTTAAAATAATTTTATTTAATGTAATTTAATCACGATTTATAGTATATAGTATATATTTATTTTATATAATTATTTTTTAATTTATTGTTTAGAAAAGTGATTCCTACAAATATGAGAATGATAAACTTTGCATTAACTATGAAATGACTAATCACGTGGAGATGAGTTTTACTATTCCCATTGAATTGGGTCATTCCTTTCAAACTAGTATACCAATTTGAGATAAAGGATGATCATGAGAATGATCATTCTATTCACATATCATTTCCTCGTACCAATCATGCCATTGGCGGTTCTAAAATAGATGTTTGGTTAATAAGTGATTGATTTGTAAATATATATTTAATGTTATTAACTTGCTTATTTTGTTATATAAATACTTAAAAAGCAATAAATACTAATTGTATTTATGTAATTATTTTTGTATCAACAAAAGTTAAATTAATTCTTAAATTAAATTAAGTTTTCGTACTTATTATAACTAAATTAAAATAAACGAAAGAATGTGAATAAAAAATATAAAAAGTGTGGTAATGTATTTTAATACAACTTGGTATTTGAAAATGACAACAAACTTTTCATCCTTATCTTTCAAATGGCTCATTAACTAAAATTTAAAAAATTGAAGGCAACACTCACATTAAATAAATGCAAGAAATTAAATGTGTTAATTAAAATTATGTTTGGTTAAATCAACTATTTTATTAATTAGTAATATTTTAATTATTTTTATCAATATCATAATAATTTAAGTTTTTTTAATTAATTGTAGTTATAATTACTTAAACAGCCCAAAAATTGGCTAAAATGCCAATTAGCAACAAGAATCTAAATATAAATGGATTTCATATAATTTTTAAATAAAGAAAAAAGGCACAAATTTCAGTAGATTTTACCTTTTAATTTAAGAAAAATGTTAGAAATACATAATAATGTACATAAATGTGTACATAACACTCACATGGAGTGGAGTCCACCTGATTTTTTACTAGAAAATGCTATATGTACATCTCTACTATATATATATGAAGAAGTTACATACCTTTAAATGACGACAAGTGGCAATTTCTTGGCTTGACATTTGGCATTTTAGTGAGCAATTACTTGAAGGACCTTTATTAGACAAACACAAGAAGAAACTCCCACCCTAATTGAGAAGGGCAATATGGTAGTTGAATGTCCCTTATATATTTTTAATACGTTTTGGCCATTGTTAGCCTCATTTTACCAAAAGACCCTCATTTTTATTTTGGTCTAATTTGAATATCAGGCTTTTTGGTAATTGCACTTTCTCTTATTGCCTTTCCCGAGATTTCTGCTCTTCATGTACTCCATCTCCATCAAAATCTTACCTAATGTGATTCATTTGACTGCTTTTTCTTTTTTCGCAGAAATCTAGCGCACGCAATTGAGACAGATAAACATCTCCTCCTTTTTACAAACCCTAAGCAATTACTCTCATTCTCACTATCATATGCTGAGCAACGGCAATGAGGAAGCATCGGCGATGTCCTCGGCAGATCCGGCGGTCTCGACACCTTCGACGGCTGTGGCGGCGTCTTCCACGTGGCCACGGTGCTGGACTTCGAGGAGAGAGAGAGCGAGGAGGTGAAGGTCCGGCTGGTCACCATTGGCACCCGGGCCATCCTGCAGGCGTGCGCCAACTCCAGAATCGTGTGTCGCATGCTCTACACCTCCACCCTCGGCACGACGACCTTAAACGCGAAGTTCTTCGGCTCCTCCAGCGCGACCGTCGCCGTGGGCGAGAGCTCGTGGACCGACGTCGATTTCCTGTGGTCACTGCGGATGTTTGCCGAGGCTTACGTGGTAACGAAGACACCAACCGAGAAATTGGCTCTGGAATTTGGGGAGAAATGGCGGCGAGCTGGCGATAGTGAGAGAGAAAGGCCTTACGAGCAGCGAATAGGCATCATTCGGCGATACATTTTGGTAATTATGGTTGAACGTTTGACTTATTTATTTTTTCCATTTATCAAATGAATTTCTCAGTTTATAAGATCTAGGTGAAGGAGCTGCGCAAGAAGATGGCCGAGCTACTCTTTCCAGTCGGCAAACTAGGGTTCGAATTGAAGTATGGATTAAGATAAATCTTTTAGTTTGGCCTTTTTGTTGCTTAATTTATTTATTTATAAGTTTTTGTCCTGAAATTGAAATGCAAGAATGTTTCGGAAGCACATCGAGGATGAAAAAGAAGCTTAAAAGCCACGTTTACAGATTTGGTAGCGCAATGACACAAGCTATGCACCGATTAGTCACGATCACCTAATTCTGTGTTATACCTATCCCCTTCTGTTTTGAACCTTTGATGAAAGAACTGATAATATTTCTTCAAAAGATATGTTTCACTGACCAAGGTTGGAAAATTTTGGTGAATGAATATCTGTCTATGCATATTTGAATGATAGATGTAGCAATTTGAATTATAACCTTTTTTTGTCCTACAGGGCCCCTGAACTTATGTACAAGTCTCTACCTGCAAAACTTATCGTTGGAATGACATCTAAGGTAGGCCTGTATGTTCCTCTTCGCATGAATATGATCCTTTATTTTCTCCATTTTCTTGGAATTTTACAAGGGGAATTACAATGCTAATGCACGCTCTAGCAACCGTTGGATCGATCTTGTTGAGGAAGCTTCCGCCAGAAAATGATAAAGATGCTGTACACTTTTTCGTGGCCTTCTAATTTATATATTTGTTCATTTTTTCCGTCAAATTTTTTTTTTGATCAAGTCATGTATTATTACCAGAGATTAGCTCACAAACGGCTGATAGACACAGCATGGGCGTTATATCTCCTTTATCAAAGCAGCTCACAATGCCATTGCCGAATGCCCTCGTTTTGGTGGCTCTGAATGAGCTCTCGACCTGTGCTCACAAGCTTCTTCATTAAGGTATTTGCACATTCATGCACACACAAGATCTCATTCTAATAATACAATCATCCACGTTTCTAAAAAGTAAAAAAATTGTGTGGGATTCGTTCTAAGATAGTGAGGTTTATTCAGGTACACACAGATGGTAGTCTATGTGCGCGGCGATAAACCTCACAAGGAGCTGAAAGTTCTGAAGACCAGTGATGCAGTTATGATTCTTCACGAAGTGCCGTACACAGAAGAGAATGTTAGCAGAATCCATGCCGCAAGAAGGTATTTTCTTTTCAATCTTAAACCTTTTGTATTAGATCTTTCTTTTTTCTTATTTATTTTTTTGTCGGGATGTTTGAGACTGAGGATTTGGTGGTTACAGGCTGTTTTCGTTTGGATAATGCCTTGGATTTTTCGGCATTTAAAATTTGACTAGAAGTTGTTGAACCAGCATTGTTGTTTATGTTACTGTTCCAACTAAGGCAGCAGATTTATTCCCATCCTTTTACTTATGGTCTGTTGGTGTCTGTTGGAAATGTTTTGGATTGTTTGTAGTGGTTAGTTTAGGTGAGGGCTTTTAAGAAAAAAATCCATGGATGATGAGTTCAAACTTATGGAAAAAAGTAATCATTAAACTTTTTCCTGGATTGTGCAGGTAAAGAAAAATGTCGAAAGCATAGTCAAGGATGTCTTGCAGTGTGCGTTAATCGAGTGCCAGGTCGGTGCTTCACTTTGTTTTATGTTTCTCTTTGATTTATGTTTCAGGTATTTAAGTATATACATGACCTATTTTTACTCTTCATCTGTCTCAATGTGTTTCCTTGCTATGTCTTGATGCCTTCCTATGTGCAGTGTTGTTAGAGAAGACAAGAAACTATTGATTGTTGTATTTCCTGATGGACGGCATTCACTCTTAAGGTTCATAATAGATCAGATGTCATTTACGCAATATTTGCATAGTCAATTGTTCTTTTAGGACATGGGGATAATGAGAATTATTTACCCTGACATTTTTCTTAATTCTATGTATCGGTTATCTTTAAACTTGCAAACACTCACTTGAAATTCCGATCAATGGAAGACAAGCAAAATGAACTATAGGATATATAAAAAAACGATTTAGTTTCTGGTCTTGAATATGTCCACTTCGTTGACAACTATAACGTTCCAGTTCCAGTTTGAGTATCTGGAAACCATAATGGTCCACAATTGGAAAGTGATCATTTTCTTTTAACTGTATTTTTTTTTCCTGTCATTTTACAGGTATTTATGTTACTTAATGACCTTTCCAGTACACTACTAACTACTAATTCTTGCCCAGAATTTTTTACTAATGTGTTTTATATTTGTTGAACTACTATTAGCTTGTCGTTGTCCTATCTTTAATATGATTATGTGTTTTCTTTTTTGTAATGTTTATGGTGCTGGTGGGATTAACATTCAAGTGGAACTGACATATTAACTTTTACTGTTACATTATATTTTGGTTTGTACATTTGTGTCGTAAATTTATGCTGTTTCTAATGGTATTTGCATAGTAATGCATCCACGTTGGCTATTTTGCAGGCAAAAAGCTATTAGCGCATTATGGAATTTATCCTTTGATGACCGGAATCGAGAAGCAATTGCAGCAGCTGGTGGAGTTAAGGCTTTGGTATGGCATTCTATTATTAAATAATTTCTAGAGAGTTCTTGTTATACTTATTCTAAATTTATTTTCACTTGGTTCAAGGGTTAAGTTTTAAGATAGCTATTTTTTGAACAGTGTCGAATTAGGCTTTATTTTTCTATTAAGTGGTTTCATCTAGGCGGCAGCAACAACAACATACCCAGTATATTCCCAACAGGTTGGGGTCTGGGGGATCAGTTGTACGCAGACCTTACCTTTGTAATTATACAAGGAGGCTGTTTCCGTAGCGATCCAACGTGCATTGCGTCGTTTGATATATTTTTTTTCTAGAAACTTCACTAATAGAAGAAGCACTAGAATTTAATTGAGCCATTTTGATATAGTCAATTATTAGCACTATGCCAGGAGAATTGTCAACAATGACTCTTCCAGCTCCATTTGCAATGGACAATCTAGGCAGCAACTACCATAAAAAAATATTATGCTAGAAAAACATTGATCCTTGATTGAAATTTCAGTAAGTCATTCGATGCCATTGTGCTTGCTAAGATTGCTTATGGTTAGTTCTACTGGTGGTTAGAGAAACCGCCGATTATCTCCCTCAGAAACTAGGGGAGGAATGAATTGAAGCAAAGAAAGAGCCATGTCCGATTCTCATCCTGTAAAAAGATCTCTGTATAAATTAACTGCCTCAGCTGCTATTGATAGCTCATCATCGATCCACGATGCCACGGTAGAACATTACATCGTCGATGGGCGCCCTGGCTTTTTTTTTTTTTCAAGCATGGAAACGAAGCGAAGCGAAGTGAAGGAAAGGTTCTATATCAATGATATGTTTTTTCTATCTTTCTCTCATCCTTCCATTTATCCACACCCTATTCGGTTCTGTATTTTGCTTTAAACTTCGAATGAAAGTAAATTCAAAACAATTTCTATTGTTACACGGATATGATAGTGCTGATTAATTACTTTATCTTTTCTTGGAATATCTTGTTATTGGGAAATCTGAATCGCTTATTTTAGTTTTTTACTTTTACCTCACGTTTATAACTTTGTGACTTTATCACATTGCATTTAAGAGCTTTTTTGGTTTCTAATAAGAATTTCTATCTATTATGTGACAAAATTACTGAACTTAAAGTCTATTTGCATTCATGTTATCAAGCTATGCTGAGAGTGGGGGATATTCTTCCAGCTTAGGCATCAGTAGATCAAAATGTCTTTCTTTCTTGCTTAGTTTAAAACTTTGGACTCTTTAAACTTTAAATCTGCTGACATCTTTATGGGTTTTTGACAGTCACTTTGTGCATCTCTTGGTAATCAAAGAAACACATTTTGGTTACTGTGAAGAAATTATTATTTTTTCCCCTTTCTATTATTGCAAAAACTTCAATTACATCTGCTTCATCAAAGAAATTAAGCAGGATTCCTCCGTATATTGTTTAGAGATTTCTTCCATTGCATATTAGCCTAAATTGATACCTTTTTCAGTTTTAGAGTTTCTTTAATTACAATTTTTTTTTTTTAAAAAAAAAGTAAGAAAAAAAAATTATATTGAGCAGTCCAATATTGCTTCGGGAGATAAAAGAAGTCAAACATGCAAAGACAACTAGCTAACATAAAGTAGTCACTTTCCTCAATCAAGTATGTTGCACCCAAATCCCTCGGGTCTGCCGTCATGTATTCCAGAAAGCGGAGGTACTTGTGTTGTTTTTTTTCTTTTTTTCATTGTCATGGGGTTTTGCGGCCTTTGCATACAAATTCTCCATTACTTACTGGCCTGCATATTTTTGCTTGTGGTTCAGGTTCGTTTGCAGTGTCACAGCCATTTCAGGTTCCATGGGAAGGGCAGGTTATTACCTTTATTATTTTTTTGGGAACTGTATTTTATCTTTCTGGTGGTTAGTTATGCTTTGTATTCTACTAACATATGTCCTGCCTATTTGTGCAAGAGACCACCTTTTGATATAATCCGCAGATCGTGATTGTTCAGGTTTTCTAAGGCTTTTTAATATTATAGCGTCGTGTCAGTTTTTCGCACTAACTCATTTTAGTTTTGTTTTACATTGTCTTTACTGACATGTCATACGGTTGAAACAATTGATATACCAAGTTTGTGGCTTTTATGGTGAACCAAACACTTTTTTTTACATTTTTTGTGACCGTTGGATATTTTATCATATTGTGGGACTCTTGCCATTATGATGTATTCATATGAGGTAATTTCAGTCTACTTTTGGGAATGCTGACAAATGTATGTATATATGTGTACTCTTTGAGTCGACAAGTATATGTATAAAGTTAGATACATTTTAAGCAACAATTTGGGAAATATATGTATAATATGTGCTATATTATATTTATTTCAGTCGCAGCATCAGTCAGGAGGGAGGATGTGCCTGCTAATTTATTTTAGGAGGGAGTATGCGCTTGCTTATTGCCAAACCATTAACCCGTAATGTCGATTTAAGCTGTCAATTGACATGTGTTTTGTTTGGACCAATGTATTCATGCATGTAAAGATTATGTATAAGGTTGGAGGTATTTTAAGCGGCAATTTTTTGGGTTGTCCAAAAAAACAATCAATATTTCACAATTATAGACTAAACCCTGTCCGGTTGTGCATAACAATTTTTGAAAAATATATATAAATTCGACAAACCATTTCAAAAGACGATAAATTTTCATTATATTTTAGACTAAATTTGAGTCGGCCGTGCGTGCACGGCCGTAAGACAACTAGTAATATTGTATATAGAGGTGTAACATTCACATTAAGTAGGACTTACCAAAAATAAAAATCAAGTGAACCCCATTCCATGTGAGTGTTATGTACACCTCTATGTACATTTATTAGGTACATGTAACATTTTTTTTATTTTTAGTGAGTCCTACTCATTGTGATTATATATTCCCTCGTATACAATATCATATACAATATCCTGAAGAAGCAGCAGCAAGCAGGAGCAGCTAGGGTTGACATTTTTTAACGGAAAACCGAAAACCGAACCGAACCAAACCGAATCGACGAGAAAATAAACCGAACCGTACCGAACCGCTTGTAACGGTAACCGACTACCAGTTACCGAATCACTATCGGTACGCTATCGGTTTGAACCCATAAGAGTTCGGTAAAACCGATACCGAACCGATAAGGGTTAAAAAAAAAAAACAAAGATTTTTTTTTTAAAATATTAAAACAATGATTAGTTGTTTAGTGTTCAAAAATTGAAATAAGGGCTCAATCCTACCTAAATCTCAAAATGACGAGAAAAATACCATTACTCATCGCCTCATTTACCTTCTAATAAAAACATTGTTGGTTTACCAGTCTCACTTCTTCTAAAGAAGATGCATGCTACCGTTACTGTAGTCTATTCTCGTACAACCGTTACTAGATAAGTTAGTTGAAGTTGTATCACAAATTGTATTTCTTGCATGTTAGCAATGTATTGTTTTATTAGTTGCGTTTACCACAAAAACCATAATCTAATAATATATAAACTAACTTCTGTATATTAAATTTAAGCTTTTTAATCCTTCAATAGATTTGTGAGTCTTTTGTGTGTATTTAATTGGTAAGAAGTGAAAAAAACTACAAAAATGACGAGAAAAGTAAACACTAGCAATTTTTTTTTTGTGCTCAAAATCGATTCGATTTTTTGGGTATAAAACCGATACCGAACCGATACCGAACCGAAATCGAACAGAGTTTTCGATTACCGAATTTTCGATAACCGACTTTAATCGATTCGGTATCGATTTTGCTTCCGAGGTTACCGACATTATCGGTACGGTATCGGTATACGCTTATCGGTTTGATAACCGAACCGATACCCACCCTAGGAGCAGCAACTTGCAAGGTGTCCAATATACGCTGCCGGTCCTGTACGCACTAAGTAACACGTGTCTTATAGCCAGCCTCCGTTAACTCGACGTGGGGAACGGGGGAAGAGGCGGCGCATGTTAGGTCCAACCAAGGCTCACTGTAGCAACGTACACTATTTTTAACTTTTTTTTGTTAACACCGATCTCGTTTTGCCCAAGAACCAATCGATCTTTTTTTCTCGTCTTCACCATTAGGCTTTTCTTTTTTCCTTCTGATTAGCAGTCCACCAGCTGAGCTAAACTGAGCAATATATATATATATATATATATATATATATATATTCATACAGTTTTATCTATGTGCTATTTGATTATTACTATAAAAATACTTGTCCCGTGAGAACAAAGACAACTGATCTTATCCTCTTTTTCATTTACTCATATTCCTTCCATTTTCAGATCTGTAGGAGTTTGCCTGCCAGCCTACTTTTGATCGGAAACTGAATAATCTATTTTGTGTTTCTGCTCGCCGGCGATAATCTATTGTCCTCTCAGGCTATCTGAAGTTTCAGATTGAGGGCGAGAGAAAACAAGACAAAAGTCCATGCGTTTTTCACCATGCCGCATAGAACGACTTACTTCTTTCCAAGGCAATTCCCGGAGCGCAGTCCCAATGAATCATCGTCAAAGTCGGTAGCAGATCACGACAAGAAATCCGGCAAGTCGGAGGACGTTCAACGCGGAAAGGTCGCGCTCGAATCGTTTACAAGCGAAAGCATCTCCGCCCGTGAACACACGGACAGCAACAGCTTCGTCACGGGGCACAAAATCCATGGCCAACACTTGTCCGCCGAGAAAAGAAAGGAGATATCACGGACGGGGCATCTTGAGCCCGAGAAGATCAGATTATGCAATAACGAAGACTGCATCGAGGAGGAGGATCTAGTGAAGCCGCTGCTGACTCTCCCCCCTCCGGCGCCCGACGGTGACCAGCGGCGCAGCGGGAGTGATTTCAGCGGCGTGGATCACGAAAGAAGGTTCGAGAGGAAGAATTCGTTGCAGAGATTATCGTGCGAGAGGAGCACGAGCTATGCCGGGAGTTTGTTCTCGGGGACAACGTTGGACGGGACATGGTCGCCGGTCACCACTGGAGTACTCAAGGACGGCCCGACGGCGGAAGGGGGTGGGCCCGGGCAAAATGTGGGCAGTGGAGATGCCAAGAGGCAAATGGAGGGTTATCACTTGAAGATTATGCTAGCCAGACGACTTACTCAGCAGGCTTCGACAACTGGGGAGCCTCTCCTTCAGAAGCATGAAATTGGTGGACCTCCAGATCCCGAAACGGTGTCCTATCGTCTCTGGGTATGACTACATATTTGTCGAGGAATGAGAATTACAATTTTGGTCTTCAAATTATGACCGAAAAATGGTCCCCCTCGCAAAGTCACTTGTGTCTTTCAAAGACCTGTCTAGATCTAGATGTCAGATTTGCATATGATTTGACCACAAAAAATATTGTGATTTTTGTTTTACTGCAAAACTTAAGAGTTTTCTGTGATGGTCGGAGCTTTTGGAGATTCTGCTACTCTAGTTTCTGCTGAGATGTTGGGAAAACCCCAATTTCGGCCAGGGTACCTTATGGGAACTGTAATTACTGGACGGGGTTTAAAGTAGTCCCTCTTCTGGGCAAATTTGAATTTCAGGTTAATATAGAAAATAACTCACAGTATAATTTATATCCTCAGGTCACTGTCCAGAGCAATCTTAAATAATTATTCTTAATTCTTGTTTCAGGCCACTGGATGCCTGTCTTACTCTGACAAGATCTCAGATGGGTTTTATTGCATTTTGGGAATAAACCCTTATGTATGGCTAATGTGCAACGATTTGGAAGAAGGTAAAAAGTTGCCTTCTCTGATGGCGCTAAAAGCAATTGACCCCAATGACACAATGCTAGAGGTGACACTCGTGGATCGACATGGAGATTCGCAGCTCAGAGAGCTCGAAGATAAAGCTCAGGAGATTTATTCTTCGGCAGAGAGTATACTCGCCCTGGCTGAGAAACTTGGCAAACTTGTTGCTTTTCATATGGGGTAAGCAATTGATATACTGGTTTACTAGTTTCAATGTTGTATGTTATATCCTGATATGATTGAGTTGGCGAAATTTAAGGGGCTCTTTTCCGGTGGAGCAAGGTGACCTTGATTTTGGCTGGAAATTGGTGAACCGAAGATTGAAGGATTTAAACAAGTGCATTGTGTTTCCAGTCGGTGATCTATCTATGGGACTTTGCAGGCACCGAGCCATACTGTTCAAGGTGAATGCTTATCCTGTTTAATAATTGCAAATTAATATTTGTCCTTTTAATATTTCAGCTTGTCTTGTTTGTATTTCTTTCTTATATTATTTCTTTTTTCTTTTTCCTTGTTTTTCAGTGTGTATGGACAAAAACAACATTTACCCTTAATCTTTTTTCTTGTTTTCCAGTGTGTGGATCAGAAAAACATTTACCATATGCCTAAATACATGATCTAGTATAAATTTTTGCTACATTTTCAGCACGAGAAAGATTTAATTTTCTAACTCGTCAAATGAATAATTAACACCTACTTAGTTAGGTGGCATTATATTATTGAAATTTGATTGATTTTTCTCTTGTACGTAGATGGCAGCTCGTTATTTTATTTTTCTATATATACTAAAAATAGTGAACAAGGGCAATGGATGTTCACATGATCCTATCACAATATACTTTTTGCTTGATAATAAATGTCAAGGTGGGCAAGTGCAGTAAAAACATTCTTCTTTGTGCACATCAAATACAGGAAAGAGCCAATAATCTCTGTGGATTTATTACATAGGCTGCATTGTTTGTTTCTTCTTTAGAAATTAGCAGACTACATTGGTCTGCCTTGTCGGATAGCTCGAGGTTGCAAGTATTGCATTTCCGACCATCGATCTTCATGCGTTATCAAGATTGAGGATGAAAGGATGCTTCCCAGGTATTTCATACTTTGTCCTTTCGAGCTATGTTCTTATGTGCTGCTCTGAAGTTGAGATAAAGGCTACTCAGATAGCCAGATTGTGTAGGACATGATTGTTGGTTTTGTGACTATCATATTGTCAGCTTAACCTTGAGGGTTCTATTTATTTTCCAAATGTTTAAAGTGATTGCAATATGCACTTTCTGCCCGTGCTTCCATAAATGTATCAGAACCCTATACAACCATTTATGCATGCCATGTTGATTATATGATGCTTCGGATTTGTTCACAAGAGAAATTTTTTTAGAAAAAACCAATGATATAAAATGCTTGATTTGGATAAAGGTTGAAGTAGTAGAAACGCGTAGTGAATTCTGACAACAATCCTATTTATTCAGTGTGTTTTATACATTACTGTAGCAATTTCTCATTTATTGAGGTGAAAAACTGATGAAGTCACTAATATTTGGTTTTTGAAAAACTGGCCAATATGTTTGTTATCGAGTAAAAATCAGTCTAGTAGAGATGTTATGTGTGGACTTTATAGAACACCTATTTAGTCAAGATCAGAATGAAGTATCACCATTCGCCAGAGCTTTGATGAGTAGATGCCTAGTACTGAAGCTCGATTCTCTGGACTTGAATTTTTATTCACCTCAATAAGAAGTAATTTGAGCTGGGTTAGTTTAATAACCATATGAAGCATAAGAATAGTCTGAAGTTGAGAAAAATCTAATTCAATTTCTGAAGAATACTCAAGTTTTTCTATTTGATACTTAATTTGGGTAAGCACTTTAATTTGTTCACATAATATTTGTAGGCATTTGACATTTTCATTTCACACAATTTTATATTATCAGGGAATTTGTAGTTGATCTAGTTGGGCAACCAGGAAATCTGCATGGCCCAGATTCATCAATCACTGGAAGTTTACTTTCTGTACCTTCACTGCTACAAATATCACATCTAAAGGAGTTTCAGCAGGATTATAGGAATGAGGCTGATTGTCAATTGCTAAACTCAAAGTATGCTTCTGACAATAGCAATTCTGTTTATTCAGGTGTGTTTTATACTCGACTCTGTATCAATTCCCTACCGAAAAACTGTCGGAGTTTCTAATATTTAGTTTCGAATAGTGCTGTATAGTAATTATTATTTTTTGTTTTTAAGAATTGGCTGTATCAGTGGTCGAGGACTTGTGTTTGAGGTTATCAGTATCTTTCAATATATCCAGTCAGTTACCAAATGCTTGTTTTCTTATTAGAGAGTGTGAATATATGTCAGATCTTTCACTTCTTTTCCACTCTGCTTCAAATTATTATATTTTGTGTTTGGCCGGCTCTAAAGAAATCCATGTTGTCCATAATGTGTTAATTCATAAACTTGTTTTCTCCATCTAGAGACTTACGTTCATTCATAAATTTGTTTTCTTCAACTAGATACTTATTTAAGGGACTATTTTGCAGTCGGCCAGGGCAATACAAAGGATATTATTATTCCAGAAAATGCAAAAGATGATGGGTGCACTCCAGCAGTTTCTGATGCTAAAATATGTGAGGATCATTCTCAGTTAGTCGGTGACGGAGTTATTATAAAACAGACATACAAAAGGGAAGTTGTTTTATCAAGAAATGCAGTTTCAAATCAAGCAGAAATACAACCCATTGTAACCTTCTCCGAAAGCAAAGATCCTATTGAGGCCAAGAACAAGTTTCAAGATCATGGGAAACACCCTGCTTCAAACATTCCAAATTATTTGAGTTTAGAGCCTTCTCTTTCAATGGATTGGCTTGAGATTTCATGGGATGAATTGCGCATTAAGGAACGTGTTGGCGCTGGTATTCATTTAACTTCTTCCACACTATTATGACATCCTCCCGAAACTATGGCCTATGATATTAGTTTTCTTTTTTCAATGATTATAGGATCTTTTGGCACAGTGCATCGAGCTGAATGGCACGGATCGGTTAGTATTATAATGCCTGGATTTACTGGCCTGTACTTAATATTTATTTACAAACTTTATCCCGCTGGGATGAATCTTGTTCCATTTGAAGTTCTTTTCTATGAAATTGTGATGGTTTTTCCTTCCAAAAGCCACCAGCATTAGATATGTGATTGATTGATTAAATAAATAAGATGCGGAAAGGAATTTATGACATTTTTTTCCCCCTCTTTTTAGGTTTTGTAATTCATCTCTTTTAGATGCTCATTGCAATTCTGCATTTGTCAAAGTAAACAAATTTCATTTAATTTTGATCAATGGTTTTTATTTCACTGATCTACTTCAGTAGTGTTGCATAATCTATTTCATCGTATTTAAATCTTCTAGCTACAGAACTTAATATGATTATTGGAGGGTACTCTTTGTGAGAAAATTATCGGAGTAACTAGAGTAATTAACTCCTTATTTTTTAATAAAAATCTGATTCTGGGGTTTGTGGTGTTCCATTGCGATCCATTTCCACTGCAGGATGTGGCAGTTAAGGTTCTAAATGTCCAGGATTTTCATGAAGATCAGCTGAAGGAGTTTTTACGTGAGGTATGATAGTATGCTTGATTATTGAATTGTTTGCCAAACATCTTTTTTAATTAGTTTGCATGAATTTCTAATTAATGCGAGACAATACATAGTTTTAGTTATTTAAACATTATAAGTTATCATTGTAACTAGTATTTGCCAATTATGCATCAAGAAAGTTTACTCTGAATCCTGTTCAATAGTTCATCACGGACCATCAATTAACTTAATTATCACATAGGCTATGTTAATATGAAGATTGTGATCAACTTAAAAGGTTTGTAGTAGAACTTATCAGTAGAGCTGTTATTTTCCGAATTTAGCATTTCACGCTTAACTAAAATATTACTTTTACGTTTCAAAGTAGTAAAGATGGGTTTGATGTGTCATTCTGATTTTGCTACCAAAAAAATTCTGAAGATGCTGTTATCAGTTCACATGGGTATCTGATGTTTACAAAATCTTTTTTTTTGTTTGTCCCTTCATTCTTTTTTACTTTAATTTTTCTCCACATCTTCCTGAAGGTTGCGATTATGAAACGTATACGCCATCCAAATGTGGTGCTGTTCATGGGTGCTGTCACGAAACGTCCACATCTATCTATAGTAACAGAATACTTGCCAAGGTAATAATTATGTTCTGAAGTCCTACAACCCAAAACTATATAGTTGGTATGAAGTGAGGCTTTATGAACTTCAATCTTTGTAATATGAAATTCTGTGGCTACAGAGGGAGTCTATTCCGACTGATACACAAGCCAGCCGCTGGTGAAAATTTCGATCAGAGGCGAAGACTACGCATGGCTCTGGATGTGGTTTGTTACGATAGTGAAATTTTTTCCAATTTATTTTTCCTTTTTCTTTTTTTTAAACTTTTTGTTAGTTAATTTAGTTGTGTTATTTTTGTTGCATTAGGCAAAGGGTATCAATTATCTTCATCGTCTTACGCCACCGATTGTTCACTCGGATCTGAAATCGCCAAATCTGTTGGTTGATAAGAATTGGAATGTGAAGGTAATTTTCTAAGTGCTTCCTACCTAGGTTTACTTAGTTAACCCTGTATCTGCTTATATCTTATTCCCGGAACAACATGATTTTAGGTTTCTGATTTTGGCTTATCAAGGTTCAAAGCAAACACATTCATATCATCAAAATCTGCTGCTGGAACAGTAAGCCTCTCTCTCTCTCTCTAAGTAGAAGTAGTATCTTTATCTTCATATGTATGTGAGCCGTCCAATCTGATTTAGTTGCATAGGAGGAAGACAGGGAGCTTGTCATATGAGTGCAATGTGCGACTTAAATCTATTATTTTTATGTGCTTCCTACCATAATAAATGACACATAAGCTTGTCATATGTGTTTCGATTGCCATTTGGCACACAAACTATGCATTCTGCACAAGCTGCAAATCATGTCTATTTAAGAAGATGGTAGGAGAGAGGTTTATTATGATACTTGTGTTTTTGGGCATTGCATATGGCTGATTGCTTTTCGTACTTTCCATTTTGACTAGCAAATTGTTCTTTTTTTTGTGTGTGGTAAAGAGTAAGAACTACTTTTTTTAACTCATCCAAAAAATCCAAACACTTTTAACTCAACCACTTTTTTTAACTCAACTTTAACTCAACCCAACTAATATTAATATTATTAATATAATTAAATAATATCAACCAATCATTCTTAAACATCACATCAACCTTAATTCACTATTCATCCTCTCACATAATTTTAACTAACCATCACTTCAAATCATTTCTCTAATACTTTTACATTAAATCAATTTTAATTATTTTATTTTAAATATTATTTTAATATACCACTAACAACTAACCATACCACCTTTTTCAAAATTAACCAAACCAAACCAAAAAAATCCAAACAAATCCAAAAATTTTTATATCCAAGCATCCTCTTAATTTTATTAATGACGGCTAAGGACATCTGGCTTGATATTTTTACTTTGCTACTGCTACATTTATATGGTGAACCTATTGAATAAGTTAAACCACATTTACAAAAAGAAAATATTTTAAATATAATGTGTTTAGTTAGAAAAAAATATTGCTAAAATTTAATTAGTAATAGGGGACACATTACTTATTTATTTCTGTAACGTCAGGGTAAATATATTCTTATTCATACAAACACACACGGGAAAAGTAATATTTCGCAACTTTAGCATGAAACTGTTATTCAACCCAACTTCACAATCCTCAATAAACAAATTTGTAATTGGTCAACTTTCTAAATTAGCTAGTTGCATCAGAACAGTTAATCGTTATCTATGTTTACCAAACAGCCCAATTGATCTAATTGGTCAATCCTCAAAATTGGTCCAAGTTTTGTAATTTCTGTTCCACTTCTCCAAACTCATCCAATGCCATTATTTGTGATTTTTTTTTAATTTTTTTTTTTTGGAAAAAGGATTCTGATGTTGTCAACAGAAAGTCAGCAGTTTTCATAAAACGTGTTTGCAGGTAGAAACTTGTTATTGACAGTGGAATCCTCAAAACTCTTGATTTTCATTTCAGCCTGAGTGGATGGCTCCCGAATTCCTTCGTGGGGAGCCCTGCAATGAGAAGTCTGATGTGTACAGTTTTGGAGTTATTTTATGGGAGCTTGTCACCATGCAACAGCCATGGAGTGAACTTAGCCATGCCCAGGTAATTTATCCTCCGTCAAGATTTTAAAGTTTTGGTAACATCTGATGATTTAACTTGTACTGTAAGTCGCTAAAACTGCACCTGAGGTTAGTATAATTACCTAAATAAAAAATACGCTCTCAAGGGTGTAATACTATGTCGAAGGAAAAATAATGAAAATCCCATTCTTTTCTTTGGTTTTTTTTTTTTTTTTNTTGGTACTACAACCCCTTACTGCTAATAACTTTCAAGGCATCTATGCCTTTTTGAACATTTTTCGTGCCTTCGTGTAACCTAGTATATTTCAAGGGATTTCTTTGTTTTCTACTACCATGTTGCAGTTCTTTTTTCTAAATTGTTTGTTTAGCGATGAGGGATTTGAATGTGTTGGTTGATTTTTTCGCAAATTTTATAGGTGGTTGGGGCAGTTGGTTTCCAGAATAGGAGACTTACAATCCCACATAACACCTCCGCCATTTTAGTTTCCCTGATGGAGTCTTGCTGGGCAGAGTAAGAGATTATTGTTATAGTTCCTTCTTTTGTGCTCATGTTTTTGATAATCCAAATGTTTTTGCGGAAAAATAATGCTCTTCTTTGCAGTGACCCTAGACAACGACCCTCGTTTGTTTACTTAGTTGATACTTTGAAGAAGTTGCTGAAATCTCCTTTGCAGTTGATACAAATGGGCAGACAATGAGAGGCCATTTCTTTCTTTTCCGTTTTCTGCTAAAAGGTTAGATGACTGTAGCTGTGAAAAACACTTGTACTGAGTAGTATTTTTTCTCTGGAATTGCTGCAATAAGTTTGGAAATATCGTTGAGAAGAAAATTAAAGTAAGATAAAAGCAGGGATTACTTTTTTGTAAGAGAAAATGCTGTTTAGAAGTGTGGTGAAGTTAACTAGCTGCATTTCCATGGGAATGAATGATATTGCTGCAATTATAGCCAAACAACATAATTCCAGTTTTCGGACACCATGGTAAAATTACCCGGGCAAAGATCTATAAAATTAGACTCGATTATTTTTCTTGGATTTTATTAGGGTATAATTCGTCAATACATAAATGAATTATATTCAATTAGAATTCCAATAGCTTTTTGAAAACCTTTTTAAGTTTTGTCTCTTGAACTTTGTGAGTATGGTAGAATTTTTTTAAGATACTCATTAAATATATTTGTAGTTGTAATATATTTTTTTATCGAGACCATCTGACAGGATTGACCAGAGATCCAACCAACTTCGGATCTAGTTGAGTGGGTTTGGGTTGATTATTCAACCAGTTAGCAAGAAAACAGTCAGACTTGAAGTGATTGCGTCAAAACTCGATCAACTCGGGCATTAATCCACCCGGGTCAATCTAATCCGACCAATTTACTCATTTTCAATACATTTAATTTTAAAAATAAAATTATTGTATATATGTATATTGTAAATATTTATGATGAGAGATAATATAATTAAGGTTTTGAAAGTATAAAATTTAGTTGTTTGTCTTATTTGTTATTTTATGTATTAGTTACCTGATTCAACAATTAATCTAGTGATTCGACGGTTGAATCGGTGACCCATGGTAGTGTAAACGACCTCGACTCGGTCTGACGTCTTTAGACCTGTCTTTGAACCAGTGAAATGACCTGCAAAACAACGTCGAGTATTGTCCCGCTGTAGAAGCTCCGACGTTCAAGTCAATATTTGAAGGTGAAGATATATACATATGTAAGTATAGAATGCTCAGAATGTGTACAGAGATGGTGATCAAACCTCGCTCCTTTATATAGAGATATTATCTAGTTGCCCAGGATATGTCCGATCTTGCTGTCCGAGTGCCCGAACTATCGAATCACATTGTCCGAATGTCTGGACTGCCCAATTCTGTTACACATGTGTCCTTATCCACGTGTCTTTCTTATCTTAATTATATTCATACTTATTCATTATACTAGTACGACACCCATGTACTACAAGGGTTGTTTGAAAAAAAAATATAGAACATAAAATAATAGAAGAATCACATGTTGTATAAATATTTTAACTCTTTAAAATATATTAGAAAGTCATCTAATATTCTATAACTATTTCAATGTATTTTTATAGATATTCTAAAAAGATTTAAATAATTTATTTACCATGGTTGGATTGAAAGATATAATATACAAGTGCTATATATGTGTCTAATTTATCTTTATAAAATTATAGTATTTTTTTAATTAAACTGTATAAAAAATTTATTGTTTATATTAATTATATAAATAAAATAATATATAAAGCTAAATTTTTTATTTTGGTATTTCGTGAATTACGTCTAAATACCATGGTTGGAGTTGGATTGAAAAGATATAATATGCGAGTGGCTATATATGTGTAATTTATTTTTGTAAATATAAAACATAAAATAATAGAAAAAATTAAAATGTATTAGAAAGATCATGTAATATTATATAACTATTTCAATGTATTTTTATAGATATTCTAAAAATATTTAAATAATTTATTTACCTGGTTGGATTGAAAAGATATAATATGCAAGTGGCTATATATGTGTCTAATTTATTTTTGTAAAATTATAGTATTTTTTTTCTAATTTAAACTATATAAAAAAGTTATTGTTTACATTAATTATATAATTAAAATAATATATAAAACTAAATATTTTATTTTGGTATTTCATGGTTGGATTGAAAAAATATAATATGCAAGTGGCTATATATGTGTCTAATTTATTTTTGTAAAATTATAGATATTAGAAAAATCGTGTAATATTCTATATATTTTTATAGATATTCTAAAAAGATTTAAATAATTTATTTACCATGATTGGATTGAAAAGATATAATATGCAAGTGGCTATATACGTGTCTAATTTATTTTTGTAAAATTATAGTATTTTTTTTTAATTTAAACTATATAAAAAAGTTATTGTTTACATTAATTATATAAATAAAATAATATATAAAGCTAAATTTTTTATTTTGGTATTTCGTGAATTATATCTAAATACCACGGTTGGAATGAATAAATATAATATGCAAGTGGTTATATATGTGTCTAATTTATTTTTGTAAAATTATAGTATTTTTTTTAATTTAGACTATATAAAAAAGTTATTGTTTACATTAATGATATAAATAAAATAATATATAAAGCTAACTTTTTTATTTTAGTATTTCGTGAATTACATCTAAATTTTTTATTATAATATTAAGCAAAAAAATCCTATTTATACGGCATATAAGATAAGTTAGAGGATTTACACCGCATATAAGAATTCTATTTATTTTGGAGTTGGAGGGGATCGCATTAAGCAAAAATCATATTTATTAAGTATTTATTTTGGAGTTGGAGGTCGGATTAAGCAAAAAATCATATTTATTAAGTATTTTATTTTAAACAATTAGGGAATGTATCAGAACCAAAAGCCGAAGCATGTAATGTTGCCAAGTAAGCTTCCGAAACATGCGAGACAGCCATTTGGGTTGAGCACATTTTGAAATTATATTAAGAGGGGATGGTATGTTCACGTTAGCCTACCTCATTAGGTAGTTGTTCTAAGCATACCCGAGCTATCAACTCGTTTTTCTTTGTACTTGACCGTTTTGGTCTTCATCGAGCAAGTCAATTTTTAGGTCTTTAATCAAGCTCTTTACTTCCAAGTCGAGTTTTCATCAGACTATCGTAGAGTCCTAGCTCGTCATGTTGCTGGACTGGTTTGTCTCGGAGGCCCTCAGGGTGTGCTTGGATATAAGTTTATAATTGGATATTTTGATTTTTTTTATTGAGTAGAGTTAATTTTTAAAATTATAATGGGATAGGTTTGAGTGAGATTTTGAGTTTGTATTAAAATAATATTTAAAATAAAATGATTAAAGTTGATTTGATGTAAAAGTAAGATATAGGTGATTGAATTTGATTGGTGGTTAAAATTTGCTGATGTGATGTGTGAGGATAATTGATTGGTATTATTTAATTATATTGATAATATTGAGAAGAGTTGAGGTTGGGTTAAATTTGAGTTGTGAATGGAAAATCCAATCACAACTGATGTCCAAGCACCACATCGACCTCCTGGTGTTCTCTCGACCTCGAGTCTTCATGCAAACTATTGGTCCTAATCGAACTGCTCGAGCTGCTCTCAAGTCGCACATGACCTAGTGGTTGGTATAGTATATCATATCATCTGCCTCACTTGATCACCTGATATCACAGAGATTACAAGGGATACCGTAAATTATAGACTTCCCCACCTGATACTCGGATAAGGCTGAAGAACGCGTGTAGATGCTTCAGTGAATATTTGAGGGCTCGACTCCTCGAAAATGTACATTTCGAAGCAATACCCGGATAAATAACCTATCTTATCTTGGTAAAATAAATTTACCAATTTGAAGAATTTCTGGCTTAAGGTTCAAGACTTAAAATTTTTTTTTTAGACGTTGGAACTCTCGATTCGGATATTTTCAAAATCTCAAAAATCATTTTGAAATTGAAATTTAAGATTCGGCTTAAAATTTCACTTCAAGGCTCGACAACTTTAAAAATTAAACGAATTTCCAAAATAAAACCACCACTTTCAACACAATTTAGGCAGTCAAATTTCACAACCAGAGGCTAAAATAAGGCTGAAAAATTCGAATAAAAAGGCTGCAAGACTACGGCTTCCTACTCAAAATCCCACGGAAAAATTTGAAATTATTATTCAAACAAATTTCCAAAATAAAATCCCAAGATTCTAATGTAATTTTGGCCATTGGAACAACGATTTTCAAAGGCTAACACCATAACAATCAGAGGCTGGAATGAGCTAGATATTTCCAACAAGACTAAAAAAAATAAATTCGGACTTTTAAAAATAACAAGGCTAGGTGATAAAATTGGATCTTTCCACAACCTTCAAAGTTTTCTCACAATTTTCGCAAAAATTCGAGGCTAATCAACAAGAAATTTAACGGAAATATAACATAATAACCCGAGGAATCATATCGAAATTTTCAGAGGCTCAATCGACAAATCAAATCAAAGTACGAGAGTCCAACATCAACTCTAAAACATCAAAGTCTCAAGAATATCGTCAACAAATTCAAGAGACTCGAAAGTCGAACCTTAAGCACAATAATATTCTCCAATTTTCTAAAATAAAGACACAGGGTAAAGCTTTGTGGTGTAGCGGGGCTGATGGCCTGTTCGTGCGTGGTCGGAGGATGATTTGGTTCTGCTCACTGTTGGACGGAGCCGACGAGGCGTGCGCTGCTGAGAGAAACGCCGGCGAAGGTTGAAAAGGATCGGATATCCTTGACTCATTACTACGTCTGCCAGTTCCTTAACTCATTACCACGTCTCGGAAGGAAGGGTACTGTGGTCACAATTTGTGAGGAAGATGCAGAAGCAGCTTCCGGTGGTTACCAAGCCATGCCAGCTTGTGGAGGGGAAATCTTATTGTTCATGATGAAATCTTACTCACAACGATGGGTTTTAAGTGGCAGCTCTAAATTTTCTTTCTTTTTTTTTTTAATTAAAAAATAGATTAGTAGTTGAGAATTTGATAAAAAAGAGGGGTTAATTTGTTGTATTTGACAAGTCTATAAATTAAGATTTGGTCTTTTGGGTACTTTTGCGNAAAAAAAAAAAAAATTGATATGGTAAAGCGTCAAAATCGTCATAGTTCAGATGGGTAAAAGTTTTTTTCCCATTAAGGAATGATGTTGGCGTGAAATATGAGTCTTTAAAAAGGCTGAAAATCAGCTTAATGCAAGCCATGTGATCTGACCCAAATTTACCAAAATTTTACCAATAAAATAAGAAAAAGAATTAAGGAAAGATTTTTACTTGGAGCTAAAGAAATGAGCTGAAGGGGCGGCTCTTGAAGCTAAAGTGGGTCGGTTTTTAGGTGCTAAAGGGCCGAATTCAAATGGCTAAAAAGGCCAAGAAGAAACGGGTTACACTTGGTCACAAAAACGGCTAGTAACGGTTCGAATAAATTAAACTGGCAAATTTCGAATAGCTAACGAGTTATTGAAAAACTGAATTAATTTAAAGCATGTCCAAATAAATTATTCAACTTAACAATTAAATAGACGATTTGGGGCACTACAAACAACATTTACAAACAACACTTTGAGTTCTTTTATAATATTTGTCGTTTAAAAAAAATAGTTAATGGCACACGTGGCTGCTTATAATTGGCAATATACATTAGCACGTGATGTGTGTGAGCTGGGGGATTTATGCAAGGTATCACTTAGCTTGAGGTTCATTTTTAATGGAAAATATTTCTGAAAATTCCAAAATTATTTTTTTACACAAAATGATGAAAATACACAAATCTACCCATTCCCACTCATCGTCAGCAGAAACAGCTCATCACTGCCGTAAAACAACCGTTTGCAGACGGTGCTTCCCGCCGCCGTCGCCGTGCGAAAAACCTCAAAACAGCCTTACCTTTTTTTTTTTTTAAAGATATGACTATTTTAGTTTAGCGAGTATGATGTCCAAAAGGTGGTGGAGTATTATAATTAACAAGTCCCATTTTTCCTGAATAGATTCCATTTGTACAGCTGCATTCAAACGACTGTTTCACTTTCTACTTTACGGAAACCTAATCCCCCAAGCCAACATACCAAATACCCCCAATTTTTATCTTCCATTTTTTATGGCTGGTGGGGGAACGATACTCCTGCGAATTGGCTACTTGTCTTGTCCCCTCAGCCCCAAAAGAATTCATTAACTATTAAGAAATCCGATTTGTTTGTTGTGATGGTAAAAAAGCTCGGTGTGTAAACTGTTGCTAATTCTCTTACCGGTATGCCCAAGAGCATGTGTTTTTTGTTCTGAGCAGCAAAAATGGTGGTGAGGAAAGTAGGGAAGTACGAGGTGGGAAGGACTATTGGCGAAGGGACATTTGCAAAGGTGAAGTTTGCGCAGAATACGGAGACGGGAGAGAGTGTGGCCATGAAAGTCCTTGATCGCTCCACCATAATAAAGCACAAGATGGTCGATCAGGTTGTTTTCTGATTTCTGAGCTTCACTTTGATTGTGGACCATTTGTATTTGATTTGAATTGTCTATGAGAAATATGTGTACTTGTGAGTCCATGATCTTATTAGTTTTGTTGTATTAGTACATTTTGATTGGATTTTAGATTGATAGGAAAGGATTAACGTGGGGAAGATGGTTTGATTGAGCTGACCTAATAAAGGATTTTTGTGCTGAGAGTTTTTTTCTTTCCTTATTTTTCAAAATAAACAATCCATTTCTCTCCTGTTTTTGTGTATTCAAAGAGTTTTTGTGAACAGATGAGATGAAGGCTGATATTCGTATAACGGTTTTATATCTGTCTAGGTCAAAATCAATCAACAGTATATCAAGTTTGATGCTGTAATAATTAGTGGGATCCAAAGCAGCTGAATTAAAGACTTGTTTTGTTAAAATGTTTAGTTAATATTAGCTAATTCTGCATATTATATGTTAATTTTTTTAGATAAAACCATTTTAGAGATTCATTTTCACTTAATAATTGGTTTTGCCCCTTTTATCTTGCAGATAAAGAGGGAGATATCAATTATGAAACGTGTTAGACATCCGTGTGTTGTCCGGTTGCACGAGGTGGGGCTCCAAATCAATGCATATGCTTTATGTGGTTTTCTCATGAAATCAGGTCTTAAACCTTTTTGTGCATGTGCCAATTGACTGTCCTGTTAGGTAATAGCAAGCCGCACGAAAATATATATCATATTGGAATTCATCACAGGTGGTGAATTGTTTGATAAAATCGTGAGTACCGTTGCCTAAAATGAGTTGAATTTTTGAGAAAGTTCAGATGGCTACTGTTGTTTAGATGTGATAAATAAACGTGTTTGGCAGGTGCAACATGGGAGGCTTAGTGAATCCGAGTCCAGAAGATACTTTCAGCAGCTTATTGATGGAGTGGATTATTGCCACAGTAAGGGAGTTTATCACAGAGATTTAAAGGTGTTCTTTCGAAAAAAGTTGTTATTTTTGTTCTTTATTTTTTTCTTCTTCTTAAAAAGATTGTGTAATTCAAGTGGACGTTAGTAATTTTGTAAGTTAAATGGTTCGTCTTCATATTCTCATTTTTCCCAAAATTGAGCTAAACTCCAGGTGTACTTCAGTAGTTATCTCATAATTATTTCCAAACTTAAAGTTCACTGACTTTTTCTTTCGTGCAGCCTGAAAATCTACTGCTTGATTCTCAAGGAAATCTGAAAATCTCTGATTTTGGTCTTAGTGCATTTCCTGCAGAAGTAAGATCTCTCTTAAAAATTTGTTAAATTATCTATTCAATAAATGGTGTTTATAATTTTTTTCCCCTTATTTTCTTTAATAGGGAGTCAGTGTTTTGCGCACAACCTGTGGTACTCCTAATTATGTTGCACCGGAGGTAACTTATTGAGATATCCGTTTTATATTAATATCTGTATGCTAAGATGACAGGATTTCAATTGAGTTATACTTGATTTTTGAATTATAGGTTCTTAGTCATAAAGGCTACAATGGTGCTCTGGCGGATATTTGGTCATGTGGGGTCATCCTTTATGTTTTGATGGCTGGTTATCTTCCGTTTGATGAGATTGATCTGACCACTCTGTATGGGAAGGTACTTAGCTGTAATGTTTTATTGATGATTTATCCACATTTATAGGGTTTAGTTCTGTTTTAGTAGGTGCAATTATATTAACATGGAAACGCCCATGCACTTGGTCTCCTCAATATTAATATTGTGTATTGGAAATTTGTATTGCAAATTATATGTCTAATATCTATACTAATTTAATATCTTGTGCAGATTGAGAATGCAGAATTTTCATGCCCATCGTGGTTCCCACTTGGAGCAAAATATTTGATCCAGAGAATATTAGACCCGAACCCTGAAACAGTTAAGCATGGCCCTCGATAAGGATCATTTTCTCCCCCAACCCAAAAACAAAAGAAGGAAAAAATATAATAAAGTGCTTATTGACAACTGAATGCTCAAATTGAATTATGACAATGTTTGTGTGATTTTCTTCTTGAGTTATGTACAATTTATTGTAATGCTGATCTCCTAATAATTGCATGCAGCGCATTAGGATTGAAGATATCAGAAATGATGAGTGGTTTAACAAGAATTATAACCCAGTCAGACTTCCTCTAACTGAAGTCGTTGATTTAGATGATGTTAATGCAGCTTTTGATGATCCAGAGGTTAGTCACCATGTACTTCTTTTCTGTACTTCGAGTTTTATTGAAAATGCCACAAGCAATATTTTCTTCCTTTTATGATTAAACAATTACATGAAGAACTTTTTTGTGCATACATTTTCTCAAAGTGACTAACATCAAAAGTTCATATCTGTAATTTCAGGTTGCGATTGAGTATAAGAATTTCTTAAAAGAAATATGTTTCGTCTGAAAATATAGATGAGAAGGTGGAAAAAGTTGTTTTGAGAAAAATTGATTGAATTGAGATTGCGAATGCATATAAGATAAAAATGTAAGGATTAAGGTTGATGTGATATAAAAATAATCAAATATTGATTGATAAGATTGGTAGCTTGAAATATGTGAGTGAATGAATAGTTTATTAATGATTAATTTGTTGGAAAAAATGTTATTTTATTTTATCTTTTATCCGGTTCTGCTAGTCAGATTGTTTCACTTCCAGTTTCAATGACAGTGAGATAGATCTTGACTGAACATATAAAAATGAAAAAAAAAATTGTGTTCGATCGCAACCTTAATGATCAACAAGTTTGTTCCTTGAGTGAACTGACAATTCAAATGGGATTACTTGGTTGTTAAACTTTATTTCTTCCTCTATTTGCGGTTAAAACTGGTATTTTGTGAAGTTGACTATACTTGCAGTTGCAGACTGTTACTTTGCGTTATCCAGATTATATTGAATTACTGGGAAATATCACCCTTTTTTTCATTATGATATTATAAAATCTGGCCAGAAAGCTAGTCATTTTAGGATTATCTTGGAGCAGCTACCATTTCTCATCTTTGAGTTCAGGATGGGATTGGAATGAAAAAATATGAAAATATATTTTGGTAGTATGGATCGTATTTTCATTATTATTAAAGTTTGCATCAACAAGCCTCAAATTCATAAAAAATCTGCTGCAGTTTCCAGGCATTGTGATTTTATGTTGACTATTTTAATTAGAAGTTGGAATTGGGTATTAGTTATGTTGCTTAAATTGTGGGAGAGGGGACAAGTAGAATTTCTTCATTACATGATTCGATGAAATATCTTGAAATTTCTTTTATGTCGAATTGGTATGTGTACGTGTATGTTATATATCAATCAAGTGGATCATTTGACTCATGGTCGTCTTGGCCTAGGAAACCATTGCTTAGTTGTATCTAATTTTAATGCAAGCTTTCAGTCCCACCTTTTTCCGCTCTTTTTTTATTAATTGCCAACCTATTGATTTAGGTTAAGTTGTTAATGGATCATTAGCATTACAGTACGTGTATACTGTGCAGTTTCCCATCTGAAATGGTCATCCTTTTTTTTGGTGGCGAAGAAAAGGCTACAAAAAATATTAATATCAAACACAAATTAGCATACATCATCAGTATTTCTTTGTTTCAATTAGTTCTCTTTGTTCCAAATTAGTTTTTCATGTAATTTGAACTACTGGATAGTAAATTTTCTTAACATGGGGCATTGAGCTGTTTCTTGCACAAGGTAATAAAATGTAGTAGGCTTGTGGTTCTCTGCAAAGTACACTCTTTTCCTAATAATAGTTTCATAAGCACATTACACATATTACTCCATCCCTTTTATTTTTATTTTATTTAATAATTATGTTGAAAATCTTCTTCTTCTNGTGACTTCTGTTTTGTTTCTTAGCTTTCTGTACATTGTTACTTTTGTAGGAAGAAGCACCTGATCGGCAATATGGGAATGAAGATATGGGGCCTCTGGTTCTCAATGCATTTGATATGATTACCCTCTCTCAGGGCTTGAATCTTTCGGCATTGTTTGACCGCAGGAAGGTGAAAATGCCTATAATGTCTTATATAGCATCAAATTTCATGATGTAAGCCTGTAACTGTTTAATAATCGTCTTGTTTTGGTAGGATTCACTGAAACATCAAACACGTTTTGTTTCGCAAAGACCAGCAAAAGTCGTCCTATCGAGCATGGAAGTTGTTGCGCAGTCGATGGGTTTCAAGACGCATATTCGAAATTATAAGGTGAAAATGACAAAAAAAGAGAGACCACTTCTATTCATTCTTACAATGGTGCCTCAAAACTGTTAGTTGAAGAAAATCATTTATTGGCTTGTATACTTACGGACCACAGTATCAACCTAACTGTTAAAACTGATTATATTTGAAATAGTTTCTGGTTCCTGGATTTATTTATAATAGTTACTGCATGTAGATGAGAGTTGAAGGTCTTTCTGCGGATAGGACTTCACATTTCTCTGTAATTATGGAGGTACTAATGTACTTTCTCACCAGCGNCTTTTTTTTTTTTTTTTTTTTTTTTCTTTTCTTTCATTCGTTTTCTTCACAGTCTGTGTATTCTCAACTCTTTTGTCAACAGATCTTTGAAGTTGCTCCTGCATTTATCATGGTTGATATTCAGAAAGCAGCTGGAGATGCTGAGGAATATCTGAAGGTATTTGTTTTATTTCAACCACGATTACTCCTAGCTTTCGTTCAAATGCAATAATAAATAGAAAAGTACAGAACAAAAATTTGTTTGTAAGAATTATCTCTGAGAATTGCAGATCCAAAGGATAAGAAATCCAATTATCTCCGAGAATTGCAGATTACGGATTTTGCCTAAGTAGACTAACAAATCCTCCAAGGGGGTTTTGTATAATTAAATCATTCCTTTTTCTTCTTGCCCTTGGACATGTATGAAGAGTCCATATAATCTGATTTTGCAGTTCTACACGAACTTCTGTAACAATCTTGAAGATATTATTTGGCAGCCGCGTGATGAGAGCTGCAAAACACGAACCACCAAGACAAACAGCAGGCGTAGATAATCTCATCTCATTATTCACATTTCATTAACTTTAAACTAAAATCCTTGTATTTGACTAACTGTGTGAGACTAATGTAATAGCTGTTGTTATGAGACGTGGTCATTATTTTATTCTATGCTGCATCTTAAAGTACATGATTGTTTGTTGCAAACTCAAATTAAATTTAGTGAAGAAAAAAATAAATATTTAAGTTGCATAGCACATAGGCCAATGAGAACAGTGCAAATATTATGTGAAGAGTTGATGTTTAAAACATCACAGATCGCTGTTTTAGCATCAGCACAAACCACTTATTTCGATTCATTCGAAAATTATAAAATCACTACGGTTGTATGAATTTAGATATATCTACTCATCTACGATAGAGGATTTGATTTCTTATTGATTATTTTGGGAATTATTAATTCTTTACAAAATAAGAGATTTTAAATTCTCTTTTCCAACTCTAAATAAATAAGTTATTAATTTGGTTCGTGGCTACCGAAAATTTTAATGGGTCAGTTATCTAATCACATCGAACAAATTGAAGCACTGATTCGATTGTAGGATTCATTCAACATGTCTAGTTGTGTCATGATGATGCAATAATGTCATAATTTTCTTTTATATTTTTCAAACACAACACTTCAAATTGTAAATATAGTATCATTTTTCTGGTAAAATTGCCCACCAAACGAGATTTTGCTGTCTCGCCTGCAAATGGGCGTCGCTGGTGGAATCTATGGAATCTGGACTCTGGCGGCATTACTGTTGACTGCTGAACCAAAGAGAAAAAATACAACAAATAAATTTATTAAAGATATGAAACGAATTCTAAAAGATGATTAGTTAGGGCCAAAGACCTTTTAATCACGCGATTTATTAATTTTTTAATTTTGATGAATAATATCTTGAGATAAGTGATTTTTTAGTTTATGAGAATACATTTTGGGCACAACAAATTCTACAGTCATCCAATTAATGATTAAACGGGTCAATTAATCATACGTTATAATTAAGAAAATATATTTATACTATTAGATTAATTTGTGTTCCATGACGATGCATGAATAAATAACATCAAAATTATTATTATAAATTAAATAATGGAATACGTGTTTGCTGATTGATAAATGAGCATATCATATTCTAAGATCTATATTTCAAACGTCGTTCGCTAAATTTTCTAAATTAATATGTATTTAATGTTGGCAGATTTTACGTTCAACTATTTGTAGCAAATACTAATCTCTTTTCATCTATGCACTAGTACGAATATTGTGCTATGCATGGATAAGCAATATTAAATAATATTTATAAATTAAAATATTGAGTTAATATGTTATATAATTTAACTATATTAAATTATTAAAAAAGCTACATAAAATCTAACTTGTGCATAAATACGTAAAAACATATATTTAAAATATAAAACACACCTAAGCTTATTACATAACATGTCTAGAAATACCTAAATGTTTTTAAGTTTTAACTATGTGAAATCACTAGATACAAACATCAATTTTTCTAATGATATTGTTTGTATATATATTTAAAATATAAAACCCACCTAAGCTTATTACATAACATGTCTAGAAATACATAAATGTTCTTCTTAACTATTCTTGAAAGAGGTGTGAAATCACTAGATACAAACATCTATTTTTTTAATGATATTGATGGTATACATATAGTGAAATACAACTTCCAAGATATTTATAAATTGAATTCCTATATATTTATAAATATAAATTTATCTAAAACACATTATGATTATAGGCATAAGATAATATTCAAATTCAAAATATTTGAATCAATTATGATTTGTATGGACATATATATTCAAATTCAAATATATAAAGTTAGGACGTATTCGTGTTATGAATATAAATAGGGAAAAAAAAAAAATTTAACCCCCCAAAGTATGTCGTTTTTTTACTTTGTCATATAATTTTCTTTTTTAACAATTTGTCTCCCAATATAATCGAAACTGACAGTTTGCCTCCTCGATTGAAAACCCTAATATGGCATAAAAGAGTTTTTAACTCAATTAATGATGAATTTTAAACTAATCTTTAAAATTGATTTAGGGCTTTTAAAGCCCATGGCGAGACGAACAAAATGAGGTATAATATGTCGAATTCTGAAAATTAATACCTCTATAATCGATCCACGAAGATAGTAGGAGCACGTGTGTATAGAAAAAAATTCAATTCAAGTTTTCTGACAACCAAAATATCCGATTTTCGATTGGGAGGTGTCATTTGAAAGCTACTAGGACCAATTTTCTAACACGTAAATCTTATGAAAATCCAACGGTCGGATTTTGATCAGTATTTAGAAAACTATTGATCAATAGTTAGCTTTTTTTTAGGCTACTAACCAAAATCCGACCGTTGGATTTTCATAAGATTTACTTAGATAGAAAATTCGTCCTTCAAGCTTTCAAATGACACATTTCAATGGAAAATCAGATATCTTGATTATCAGAAAACTTGAATTGAAATTTTTTCTATACACACGTGCTCCTGCTATCTTCGTGAATCGATTTTAGAGGTATCAATTTTCAGAAATCGACATATCATACCTCATTTTGTTCGTCTCGCCATGGGCTTTAAAAGCCCTAAATCAATTTTAAAGATTAATTTAAAATTCATCATAGAGTTAAAAACTCTTTTGTACCATATTAGGGTTTTCAATCGAGGGGGCAAACTGTCAGTTTCGTTACATTAGGAGACAAATTGTCAAAAAAAAGTTTATATGACAAAGTCAAAAAAAAGACATACTTTGGGAAGTTAAAAGAAATTTTCCCATATATTATCTCGTATATAAATTTAAATCAGAAGAGCGTACGTATTAAAATTTAAATAATGTATGTATAGCACGCCTACTACGTTAGATATTGGTGTTATGAAGATAAAATAATATCTATCATTTAAACTATTAAGTATTATCTCATATTTATATTTAAATCTTGACGTTTTAAAATCTCAACCATTTATAATATATTAAATGAAAAGAGCGAAAGGTTTAGAATATTTTGTGATATAAAAATTTATTAATTCAATAGTATTTTTATCTGGCATGTTTCGAATAGACACGAGCAATTGGGTTCCGACTTAAAACTGCTGGTTCAGGTTAACATTTTATGTTAATCAGAATCGACCGGGGTATATATACGGGCCGGTTCTAAACTGACAGTTTATGGTTCAGAACAAGCCCGTTGGTTCCGGGCCGAACTGACAATTAAATAAATAAAAATAAATAATAAAAAATTGAAATCAATAAAAAATTATTTTTTAAATTCGCCGAAACACTGATTTAATTTTTGAGAAAAAAAAAAAAATGAACCTGAACCAGCCTGTGGTAAACGGGCTTGATCGAGCCAATTTTGAAAGAAAAATTGCATCCATAAGCTTAGAGGATAAATGTGCATCCATAAGCTTAGAGGTTATTATATAAATCCTTTACACGACATATTTTAAAATGAAATTTAGGAATTTTATCCATAATATTATATGATATTCAAAACTTAAAAATTTAAACTACTTTTAAATTTTCATATTAAATAGCAAGAATTTTTTTTATTGAAATCCTTACTATTACTAGTAAATGCCAAACTTTTATATATGATATTTGAATAAGAATATTCATATTTGTTTTTAACCATTAGTTTACTTAACATCACTCTTAATGTTTAAGCGAAGGTTTTGAACCTTATTTTAGAGTCAAGTAATTTTTTTCATAATAAAATATTTGATGTTATTAATACTAGAATAATACTTAAATTTTAAAAAAGATTGATATTAAATTTCAAAATAAACCTATGTTGTTTGAATAAAACCATTTTTTGTAGTTACATAATATCAAAACGTAAAAAGAACGTCCAAGTGAGTTGTCGGTCTGAACTTAGCAAGATACACAAAAGCTTGAAGAGTAATATAAATTACAATGGGAAGAGAAACATATTTGTAAATATATTCTTATAAAAATTGTTTTAATGGTTAGCCTTTTTATCTATGTTTTAATTACCATTGCAGAAACTAGTAAACCGGTCACGTGTCAGTAATGTTGATCGGTGTAACCACGACGATCTTAGCAGAAGGCAATTGAATTAATGAAGACTCAAGACATTGTATATAACTTAGTATTTAAATTTTAAATAGATATAGCCTACCATAAAATCAAATTAATAACAGGAAATATGATAAACGTTAAATAAGGATTTATGTAAAAAAATTTGATTAAAAATTTTATAATCAAAAGAAATTTCTAAAATCCTATTGATTTACCTGTTTATCTTACTTTGGCCCTATTTGAATATTAGCAGATTGCTATAAAATTACCGTAATGAATCTCATTTAAAGATTTAATCTTTCAAATTCGCTAATTAGTTTGGTAGAGAGCTTATTCGATTAGACTTTTAACCAAACACGTTAATTATGAAAAAGCTCATATACAAGCATTTTGAAAAGAGATGGTTTGTAGAATAATATGTGAACATAAAATTTCCAAAATAGTTACACAATTTGTCATTTATCAAATAGTTATTTTGAAACAACTAATACAATCAGCTAGCTAAATCAACAATTACCAGATTATTGTAAGTTTAATTTGTCAAAAATCGACAAAAACTGACGACTTTGGAGTGGTCCCAAAACTCTTCATGAGAAAATCTAGGAAACGAAGAAAGAATATAACTTCTGTATATAATATTCTTTTCCATGTTTGCCTGTTTATGCAAGACAGAAAATAATAAAATCAGGTTCTCCTTGCAATAATATTAAAGTAACAGTCAATACATTGGAGAGAATAATATGGATAAATTGGGTGATGGGATAAAGAAGAAAAAATAGCAACGAAAATTTGGATGACAATTTCCCAGTAAATTGTGGTTAATTGTGAATAAAATATAAGCTTTGTTTGAATTAATTAATACAGATTGGTATAGTTAAGAGGACAAAATTGGCCTATCAACGCTTATTTTAAAACTATATATGTATTGTCAAAAATTGCTGCATATGTTTATATTTTTCCTAGCATTCCTTTTTCTTTTAAAATATTTTTGGAGTATGGATGGGAAATCTTGATTTATAATATTTTATAGCCATTTATTTATTTTCAAGGGCATCTCGTATTTAATATATACTTTTGTCAAATGACATTTAATTCTATGCAACTTGTATTCCACTAGATTTTTTTGATTGTATAGTTCTTATTTCATCCCTGTAATTTGAGCGATATTTTACTGATCCTGTTTACAGGAACAATTTAATGGAGGTCCCAAATGTAAATTAAATAAGTGACACCATAAGTTACATAAACGAGTAATCAAAACACGTGTATTTGCACGGAGGTAAATTCATAGAAGATAAAATAATAATAATAATAAAAAAAAAACAAAGACAAAAATACAAAATCATAATTTAATTCAAGTAAGACTATGAATTAAGAAAAGAATTCTAAATATTATTTAAAAATTCCTTATATACAACATTTACAGTACTCTTATAGCCAAAAATTCCTATCACTACATACTGCTCAATTCTCGATTCCGATCAAGTTCGTCGGAGGTCAAAAATTTGGTATGCTACAACCTTAGACGTCAGTAGTTGTATCTTTTAGGACAAGACGCTTGAACTTGTTAGTACGTTACAGGGCGTATTCGTTTTGCAGAAAGAACAACATTCGCCTCGTCTATTGTCTTTCCACTTTGAGCTTGTAATTTTGTATTCTGTTTTAGTTCAATTTGTATACACTTCAGTTTGTAGGATACTCGTGTAATCGAATCACTTGGTTTGTAACAAGAAGGATGCCAACAAATATTTTAGTAAAATCTTTACAAGATTTATCCAATCCCGTTAATATAGTAATTGGTTTCAAGGACTTGTGTGTTAGAATATGTAAAAAGAGTTTGAAAGGGGAAAATGGGAAAATAGGATATTCTTTTGCAACAAGAACAAACTATAGCTGTTGAATATTCGTAAGACTTTGAACAACTTTTTCTATAATGTAGTATATGTTAAGGTAAGGAAACAAGAGATATTCTCCGCATATAAGTTAGTATTGTTTAATATCTAAACAAATTCATAATTATACATACAACTCAACATATATGTTTAGACCAGAAAATTCAAACTATTTGACCACATGCCTTCAGTACAAATGAATAATGAGAGTCTTAGTTGGCCAATTAAAAAACTCAANCAAAAAAAACACACACACACACACACATATTTTTGGTTTTAGGGTGACATACCCATGACGAAATAATGAGTCATCCTTTATTAATGTTACTGTCCGATTAATAGAGTAGCTATTAAAGAGGATTTTTTTCATAAAGGAATTTGAAGCTCCTGCTCGTCGATATTGGGTAAACTGATTCGGGTTTCTTTGAACTGCCAAAATTAACCAGGTTTATCCAGCTTAGAAAAGCTCATTATAAACCAACACGGACAAGTTGAATAAGACTCCGGTTATTTTGTCAATCATGCGAGTTATATGGCTAATTGCAAAATTGAAAAATTAATTGTTATATAGTAAAAGTAACATAAAACATTTTTCATGTAAATTTTATACTTCAAAATTTAATATTATTATCTTTTATATTAAATATTTACTACATACATAAATACAATGTTTTGTTATACATTATAAGAAAAACAATAAGTGGCCGTGTCTTTTTTTATATTTTTTTTATATAGTAATTTTTTATATTTTTTTTAGTAATTTCACTAGCATGAGGACTAATCTCGAAAGCCAGGCGGTGGGCCTACTCCTAAAGGACGTTTGGAGACATAAGCCTCGTCGAAGGTAGGCTTCAAATTTCTCCGGGGATTTTCATTTGCGACGGTTATAGTGCATTTGAAAGATTTTTGAATAAATGTTCCCATAGACGACGCCAAAATGGTGTGTAAACAACTTCGATTGGACTCGAATGAACTTGATCCGCTCTCGACCAGTTCAATAGACATGCAAAACAACGTTGGAAGTGGTCTCGATGTGAAGACTCCAACGATCAAATCCGTATGTGGATGAAGAAGATGATGAACGGTAACTGTATAACTTGTAAGTATATAAGAGTGTGTAGAGTTTGGATCATCATACCTCACCCCTTTATATAGGGATGTTGCCTTGTTTTCCGTGACTGCCCGACTTGACTGCCCTATAACGCAAGTTACATGTTTGTATAGCCCAGGTGCCCAAACTACCCAATTTTGTTCGACCATGTGATCCTATCCACATGTAGTTCTTATCCTAATAATATTCCTTCTTATTCTTTAAGTAGTGTGTTAACACCTGTTTGCCTTATTAGACAGTCTAATTATGCGACCATCTCAACATCCTACGAACGAGGTTGCTCCGAGCTCCTACGTATGGACTTTGCCTGCTAGGTCGCGCCCATGACCTGCTTTCCTCCATGTCGAGTTTCTATCAGGACAGCTGAGGGCCTAGCTCGACCTGTTGGGTGAGCTCCTTTACTTGTGTGGCCACCATTGATCTGGTGACCCTTCGACCTCTGGTATCTTTATTCTCCAATCGACCTGTCGGTCTACTTAGTTCGACTAGACTACTCTTCAAGTCATAATTGATCTAGTATGGTATCTCATATCATTTGCTTTTTAACATATTCTTTTTCCAATTATTCAATTCATCTTGCTATACACATATTTGAACAATGAAACTTTGTGGATTTCAACTATGAAAAACTCCTCAAACAACAACAAAAAAAAGGTATGTTTAGTAAAACAAGCTATTAAGCTAGTAGATAGCTGATAACCAATAAAAAATAAGGTTATATTTGGTAAAACTAGTTGATATCTTATAAGTGAATTTCGAGCTTATAGCTGATAGCTTGTGACTTATGGCTGAAAAGTTAACTGATATGATAAAAGTGTTTAGTAAAATTAGTTGACAAGTCAACTGAAATAAAAATTTTAATGGTTTATTTGAAAAACTACTTAAATAAGCTTATGAGATAAGTTCGAGTATTTTAAAAAAACTCTTGCTCCCAAACCAAGTTTATTTCTATACAGAAAGTTTATAAGCTAACTAAATAAGTCTTAAGCTAGTTTATTGTGCTTACCAACACTCTAAAGGGGTGTATTCGTGAGGGATCTCAAATGACATTTTGAAACTTTTTGAGATTTGAGACTTTTTAAGATTTTCAGATTCAGGAGGAATCCTATGAAATCTTAAGTCTGGAGGTGAGATTGGAGTGAGATTTCGTATATGGTTTATTCTTTCTAAATTCTAGCAAATCTTAAAAAGTCATAACAAATCATAGTCTCAAATAAGTTTAATACATCAAGATTTTGTACGACTTTTTTCAAATCTTAAATGAATACCTCGAGACTTCTATAAGTCTTAAAAGGTCTAATTTATGCACATTATATTTCTGATGTCTTAAAAAGTCTTTAGAAGTACCAAATGAATACACCCTCAGAGGCTAAATTTGGTAAAACCAGTTGATAAACTTATGACAGTTGATAGGTTTTCTTTTCTGAACAAACTCACACGTTAAATTATAAACGAACCGAGGTTTGAGGGGGGCTTATTCACCTGCAGAGTCGGAGAGAAAATAAATGGAGAGGGTTAAATCCCTTACAAGTCCATAATACTACAAGTACTACAAGTCCATAGTGTCCGATTTTTTTCTATTCCTCGTACTGCGCCTGATCTGCTGCTTTTTTACGGAAGAGATGGTGTAAGTATGGTGACAAGGGGTGGGACAGAGTGGGAGGGAAAAGAGAATGTTGGTTTTTTATGGTAGTTTGGGGCGACAATGAAGATCTTCAAATTCAGAAAAGGGAAGAGAGTGGTTTGGAGAGTCCGGTTCAGAATCAGAGCAAGACTCAACAACCACTGAGTTGGGCTTAGGTGAACCTGGCTCCAGAAAGTCAGGCACATTGCCTGGTTCTGCCTCAGGGAAAGTAGAGGTGGTAAGAATTTGGACCGAGGAAGGAACCAGGCTTAGTAAAGAGGGTTTGGGTAGAGCCTGGCTAAGCGGGGGTGCCGATTCCATGGGAGTCGAGTCTGGGGCAAGGGAGGAAGGATTGGGTGGGCTAGCGGGAGGTGGGGATGGAAGAGAAGAAGAAAAGGTTGAAATAGGTGGAGAGGGATCAATGTGGGGTTTTTTGTTCTTATTAATTTTGAGGGGACGAATGGTTGGATTTTTTATGTAACATGTTGATTCATCATGTCCCACATGAGAGCAATATGAACAGTATTTTGGTAAGCGTTCGAACTCGACGGTGAGTTCGACGCGTGTTTTCGCAAGAATTGCCAATGCTAAAGGGATAGGGGGATTCAAGATTGAGGACTACGCAAAAGCGTGCATAATGGAGACGGGTTTTTTTAAGTGTGGCATCATCAGCTTTTAATAAGGTGCCAAAGATGTTGGCGATTGTTCGAAGAGCCTTTAAATCAAAGCGATGAAGGGGAAGAGTTGGGATTTTGATCCAGACGGGAACAATGGGTGGTTCTTTTTTGAAATCGAAATCGGCGGACCATTTCCGCATTGGAAAATTTAGAATTAAGATTTCACGTTTTAACCAAAGTTTGGTGGGCGTGTTTGGGTTGTCGATTTTGATTAAGACGTGATTGCCATGGAGAAAGAAAATTTTGCATCCGATAAAACCCAAAAGGGCAAGGTTCGACTGGATAGCCTTGTTAGGGGTCTTGCCGAAGAAGAATTTGCCTATGAGGGAATATTTTAGGTCCTCCGACACTTTTGAGACTTCTATGAGGGAGAATATAACCTTTGGAATGCTATCGGAGAGAGAAAGAGAGCCATAAGAAGAGAGCTCGGGTGGGTTGGTGTTTTGGGCAGCTGAGAGGAAGGATTTTGCCGGTCCGCGGCCGACATATTGGGTTGAAGAGGAGGCAGGGCCAAATTGAAAGGGTCGGGCCAGGTTTGGGCCGGTCTTAGGGGACAGGGCTGAGATTGAACGTGGTTGGGTTGGGTTCGGGCCAGACTGACGGATTTGGGTTTTGTTCGGGATAGGTAAAGTGGGGTGGGCTTTAGATGGATCTGGGAGGGGTGAAGTGTGGACGGGCTTGGTTTTGATTTGGGAGGGCTGGGAAGGGCTAGATGAGAAAAGAGGTCCACTTGAATTGGACTTAAAAATTAAAGGACAAATGGGCTTGAATTTAGAAGGCCCAATAGGATGGAGAAGAGAAGAACTAACCGGCCAAAGAAGAGGAGCCCAAGGATTAGGCACGTACGAGATTAAGGCTATCTGAGGATGTTGCACTGCCACCTTCTGATCAGAGGTAGAGAAACCGGCGACGGTGATTGAAGAAAATTATACGACTTCCGGCGGGATTGGTTTAGCATACGAGAGCGAACGGGGAGAACCACTTGGAATCGCTTTTGTCGATTTGGTGAGTCTGGGGACGACGTTAGGTGCGGAACCAGTCGGACCGTCAGAATTTTTGGTCGCCGGTAGGAAGAGTGGCTGTTGTCCGGTGGAAATTTGTGTTGCCGACAGGCTGAGGAGGTACTCCAGGTCACCGAGAGGCCATTCACGAATCATGGCTTGGGTTTGGGTGATCTCCGCTAACCGGCGGCGGCCGGCGGGCTGTTCGGGGTGCTCTTGAAAGTGCTTGGACCGGGTTAATCACTTGTTAGCTCTTTTTGGCATTTTATCGAACAGTTTCTGTGCACCTCGCCTTGTAACTTTTGAATCTGCTCTAATTGACAACTCGTCCTGCAAAATAAGTGGATGATGGAGCAGTTTGAATTCTCGCACTAACTGAACAAGAGGAATTTGTTTGTAGAGTGAAGAGAATTAGAGGCTCCACCTTGTTTTTCTTTATCTTGTGTTTTCAGCTATGCGTTTTACAGCTAATAGGTTATAAGTGAATTCTGAGTTTATAACTAATTGCTCATGGCATATGGACGAAAAGTTAGTTGATATGATAAAGTGTTTGATAATATTAACTTCAGCTATGCGTTTTACAGCTAATAGGTTATAAGTGAATTCTGAGTTTATAACTAATTGCTCATGGCATATGGACGAAAAGTTAGTTGATATGATAAAGTGTTTGATAATATTAACGGATAAGCCAGCTGGAAAAAAAATTCACCATGCTTATTTGAAAAGCTACTCAAAGAAATTTATGAGATAAGTTTGAACTTTTTATAAAACGCGTTCTACCAAACCAAGTTTATGTTTTACAAAAATTTATAAACTAACAAAAGATTCAAAAAGCTTGTACAAGTTCCGGGTTATCTTCTTTGATGGGATCGTATCTACCAAAGGTCACTCCTCAAAGGCTTGTACAAGTTCCGGGTTATCTTGTATTTAACATTTATTTTGTTCGAATACACACATATATTTTTCTACTTTATTGCAAAAAAGGGTATCGACATGGAAGCAAACTCCTCACAACTTCATTGAGAAATCTTCTTGGCAAAATTACACTTCAAAATCTATACTAACCCACAAAATGAATAAGGAAAAGGAATAAAAAAGAAAGAAAAACAGAGTGAGAGAGACAAAAAGGAGAAAAATAAGACAAAGTAATCTCTCCCATCCCATTCCCATTTCCTCCCCAAAACCTAACTAATTAACAGAAGATTGTTTTTTGTTTTTTCAGTCAGTCTAATAATCTTTGCTCCTGTAGCTACACGCATTTTTCCCCATATCCACCATTTCTCAGCAATGCTTGCCTTATATCCTCTGAATCTAACATTGCCCTTTTATTCAAATCCTGCACCACACACAACATTACAATATAAGTTTATTGCAATGCACACCCAACACTATAAAAATAAAAAAGTTAGATTAAAGAATTAAAAAATGATTTAATACTAACCTCAGAGCAAGAAGCCTGGAGAGAGAATTCATTAAAGCAGCTAATTACACACTGTTGAATCTCGAGGCCTAATGCTTCTAATGTGGTCACTGTTGACAGCAACAATCCAGGCTTCCCACCACAACATATCTCGATTCTTGTGTCTGTATTTCTCCTTTCCACATCAAACTGAACAAATACAATAAAAACAAATTAGATTAAATCTAAACTAAAATCCAAATCTTTTTTTTACAGAGAAAAATCTTTGAGATTAAATTTTTTGAGACAGAGAGAGAGAGAAGTAATTCATACCTTGGGTGAATTTCTGACGACAATCTCATTAGGCTTGACATCATTGAAAATGGTCATTGAGGCCAATTGATTTGTGCCCAAATGCATCTCTTTTTGCAAGCCATTGATCCGTTCGATCAGCTCCTTCATGTAATCTATGGTGTCTCCAAGTATAGATGTTCTGTCCATCTGCCCAATCAAATCAATGCAATTATTAAAATTAAACAAAAATCCACAACTGAGAAATGGTTTTTTTTTTTTTTTCCTTTTTTGACTCAGGGGAAAAAAGGGGATTTTAAAATTTACCTTGCTAATCTTGGGAACAACTGATCGGAGCATAGAGAGGCGGTCGTTGAGGCGCTTCCTCCGGCGGCGCTCGGCCATGAGGTTCTTCGATGGCTGGCCGCTGATCTTCTTGGGCTTTGCCCCGCTCTTAATATGGGCCGGGCCGAAGGCCATGTTGAAGCCAGCGGGAAGTTCGGGCTGGGGCTCCGCCTTACACGGCACCCCGATATCCATACCCTGGAAGCCCGCGCCCCTAGGGAACAAGCTCTCGCCGGCGCCGGAGAGGTAGAATTGGGCGTCGAGATTCCGACTGCCGGAGGAATCGGCCGTGAAATCCGGAGGGGAGAGCTCCTCGCCGTATTGGGCGTATGAGGAGGAAATGAAGCTCTGGTTATTGTTATTGAGGTAATTAGGGTTGTAATTGTTTTCCATTGAATTTGGGGCAAAATTGGTGGTGGTGTTGTTGTAGATTGAGTCGAGGGTGAGAGATCCGCCATTATTAATGGCGTTAAAGTAAGCTTGATTGGCGTAGAAATTTTCCATGTCTCTGAAGCCCATAAGCTCCTCCATGAAAGCTTGCTGCTCATTTGTGTAGTAATAACTCTCCATCTTAATTTAATTACTTCTCAATCTCACACACACCACACACACACTTTGTTTGTTTCTTTAGCAGTTTGTGTTTTGGGAGACAATAATGATAATTTTTTTTTTTTTCTCCTTTTTTTCTCTCTCAACACAAAGAAGAAATGCTTTTTGATGAGGTGTGGGCTGATGAGTTCCTGTGGTGGTCTTATATATAGGTGGCACCAGACCAACGGAATGCCCTTACTCCTATAAATTTATTAATAATTATTTCTCGGATTAATTTTATTATTAGAATTAACTTATTGGTTTCTTATTTTTTTTTCTTGCTATACAATGCACCTGCATGTATATTAATATATATAATTGCTAATCTAACACATTTGCTAAATAAAACCTCTTCATCAACACGCATACTTGATTGACAACGTCACCATGATTAGGAGTGACTAATGACAATTAATGATTTTTGCATTATTTTTTTACACAAATAAATTGGGGATGGTCATGCTTGGATATAAATATATTTGCTCAAAACGAATTTTTTCAGTTAACCAAGATTAATCTTGAATAAGTTAATATAGTTATTGTTATTGAAATTTTGAGTTCGTATTAGATATAAAGTGATAGTTGGTTAAAATTATGTGAGTGAATCAATAATAAATTAAGATTACTGTGATATATAAGAATGATTGTTGGTTATTATTTAATTATATTGATATATGAAGAGGAAAATGGAATTGAGTAAAAATTGAGTTAGATTTTGAATATGAGTTTAGTATAAATTGAAAAAATTTATAAACAAACGCCCTAAATAGTGCTAATTACAGATATATTTTTTTTAAATAACTTTCTTGGGAAATATTATTAATTATAAAAATAAGGGTAGATTTGGATATATGAAAATATGGGATTGTGGCTAGACTCGATGTCTGTTTCACACGGCCGAGATGATTTTGGATGTCATTCTCACCGAAATTTGCTAAATCAATTGGGCAATATTTTAAATTTTTAGGGGGCTCTGAAAACTTTGACTGAAAGTTTGTGTCAATGTATCCTTCTTTGTATGCAGATAAAGCATAAAAAGTACTTTTGTCCAAAAAAACAAAATAAAAAATAAAATAGTTCCTAGCAAGTCTTCGATTTGTAAACACAAATTAACCCAAAATATAATGTAAGTAAATATCCCTTGTAGCATAGGGTTAAATTCAAGATAGAAAAAAGTTTGATTGTTACTCATCTAGTTTGGGTAATATTCAAGAGTTTAAGCTTGAATATTTTTATTTCAAAACAATTTCTATACTAGTTTTTATCATGACATGCACAAATAATAATGTTAAGTTGTACCATCTCTGGTTAACTTTTTTATTTTTATTTTAAATAATATGATATCAGTAACTGACCTAAATTGTACTGATTGAACTTTTCAAAAAAAAAATTATTCAACTATTTTATTTTTGTCTAATCTATTTTTATTTGTAATTTACTGATGTAATAATAATAATATGTGATTAATAATTGTTTCTATGGGATATTTTTTTTTTTCAAAATTATTAATAAGTTTATTAGTTAATATTGCATGTATAAAGCGAACTTAAATTTAACATTTAATATTGATTACTGGTCAAGTTATTTATACAATAAAACATAAATGTATGTAAAATAAAATATATTTATGGTATAACAATCTAAAATAATAATTGGTAAATTTTATCCTTCATTGATTTAAAAAATTAATACTAAAAAAATATAAAAAAAATATAAATAAACAATTATTTTGAGAATCAAGTATATAAACTATTAAAATGGTAAACCAATGTTTCATTTGTCCGACTACCCTATAAATTATTGGCTTCAATGAATTCAAAATATTTAGTATATGTATTGTTATAAATTGTTGTAAATCAATTAGTTATTAGTCCAACGGTCATTTAAATTATAAATTTAGTAAGAATAATATTTTACTTGAAATAAATATTTCAAAAAATGTATAATTAGTTGATGTCTTAAATTTGAACTTCATCATAAACGCGCTTCAATTAAAATAAGTTTCGCCTAAAACCTTCAATTGGAAAAGTTTGAAATTCTTCAAGCATTGTAATGAAGTTTTTCCTATTTGAACTAGAGTGTTCGTGAAACAGNTTTAAAAAAAAAAAAATGAAGTAAATTTTTGTGCAAAATATGGTTAACTTTATCTTTCGCGTAACAACACTTAGGATTAGGGTGTGATTGGATATGAATTTGATTTTATTTTGATTGTTTTTTTAATCATAGTTAATTTTGAAAAATGTGGTACAGTTAGTTGTTAGTGAAAATTTAATTTAAAATTAAATATTTAAAAAAATAATTAAAGTTGATTTGATATAAAAGTAGGAGAAAAATGATTGTAAATGATGGTTAGTCAAATTGATGTGAGTAGATGAATATTGAATTAAAAAAAAGATTGAATTAAAAAGATGAATATTGAATTAAAGTTGAGGTGATGTGTAAGAATGAAAGTGTGATATTGTTCAATTATATTGAAACAAAAATTCTATAAAACCATCGAATGATTTTCTTATGAAGTCATCCATCACTTAATATATTCACACCTGTTCAAAGTGTATTTATTGCAGAACACGTGTCAATACACCATTTATCAATAACTATGGATGACTCCATAAGTCGAGCCATCCGATGACTCTATAACAAAACTGTATACTAACAATATTAAAGATAATATTAAAGATAATGAAGTTGAATTAAATTTAAATTTTAACTAATTATTTTTTTGGTTAAATTTATAATCGGTGACACCCTTAATCAAGTATTAGTGGGGGCAATCAAGATCCGGAGATCCAATAAAAAAAATATTTGTTTAATTAAGTTTTTATATTTTAAATAAGTTTACGGTAATAATAATAATTTGAGAGACACCCCATAAAAACACGTGGACAAATTCCAAGCAGGTAACCGCGGCGGCTTTTGCTCTTTCTTCACTCAACCACCGCCCCGCTCCCCACCTCCCAGCAACTTCTTTTTCTTTTTTCTTTTCATTTTTTAATTGTTGTGAACCTTAGGCTACTTTTGAGCTCGTTTGTTTGCCTCGATTACATAGATTAGGCATTTAATATTTGATTTATCTTGTGTTTGTTAATTATGATTGTGATCCACAAGATTATATTAATGCTATCCAATTTTGGTAAGGTGTGATTTTTTTTTATCCCTATAGTTTTAACGTGAGGAAATAACCAAGCAACCCCAAAAGTATTATATTTTATAGGTTGTATTCTTGGGCAAAATTTTATTACCACAAATTATATTTTACGGACAATTATCAACAATAAAAGTAGATTCATTTTAATTTCCACTATCTAATCATATCACCCTAAATATATACTCGCTCCTATTCATAATAAGTGTCGTTTTGGAAAGTTACACATTAATTAAAAATAATTTTTTTGACAATAATAACCCTCATTAATGAAGATAAAGACGAATGTTTAAAAAAAAAAATGAAGAGAATATGTAAAGACGTAGTGTATTTATTAACTAAATGAGGGTAATAATGGAAAACTATATACAAAAGATAAAAAATAACATTTATTTTGGTTAATAGTTGATAAAGTCAAAATGACATTTAGGTAGTATAAAAAAGGAAATCTTTTTCTATCCAGGCAAACAAATAATAACTAGGCTTTTTAGATTCATCTTAATGTTGGAGTAGAACACCAAACGCAACGGACAAAAAATACTCCTACAACAAATATGGCAAGCACTACTCCAAACGAAAATAAGTCAACACAAATAAATAAAAGACGAGAAATAAAAAGGACACAAAAATTGATAACGGAGTTCGGCCAATATTGCCTATGTCTTCGGGCACCGCCAACCGCAATGCCAAATTTACTAAACTCACCAACAAAATACAGCTAGGGTTAAATAACCCACAAATTAAAATTTCCTTAAATAAGGATTTTCTACTAAGAGAAGAGAGAATAAAATAAAGTGCCATTGTAACTCAAAGACAAGAGACCTATTTATACTAATAAGATCCTACACATTTTTGGTATACATCCGACGTGGGACAACAATTAATCAAAAAACTAACACTTAACTTATTTATTCACCTATTCTGTTTATTTTTTAATATGTAATTTCAGTGTTTTTCAAATGTAACGGTTTTAAAAACATAAATAAAAAAAAAAAAAAATCTATCTATATATAAAAAGATTGTTGTTAAAATACTTTGTAGAAACTTTTGACCAAAAAAAAACTTTGACATTCTAAATATAGAAACCATATGTAAAGCATTTATTTATAATACACGAAATTTTAAAAAAGTCATACTTGAATTCAAAAATTAATTGATTACAGATATTATTGGGATATGAGGATAAGTCACATTAAAGAGATAAGTATAAGTCTCTATGAAATATCTATCACAATTGGATCCATGATTATCATTATATAATTATGCGAATCTTGAGTTCAAAAATAGTTGTTTGGTATAAAATAAAGTTCACGTCATTCACAGAGAAAATGAAAAAAAGTTCACGTCATTCACAGTTCAGAGAAAAAAAAAAACGAGATAAATTTTACAGAGAAAAAAAAAAGAGATAAATTTTAAAACACATAGATAATATAATGTCGCCAGTCACTCGATTCCGTGAGTAGGAGAAACAAGCCTTTTTTGCACTTGAAAGCAGTCCTAATAGTTGTAACGCATCACCAACGGGAGAGCTTGAACGCATTCCATATACTGTTTCATGATGAACAGGTAAATATTTTATTTGTAATATCAAATTTATATAATTTTAAAAAATATTTTAATTCATATTTATAAATTTATATTGTAGGGTACATTCATTAAAGGCATAATACGTTCCAAACATGAAGATGAGGTAAGATTTGCTGCTCAATCAGCCACTGCAGACAAGGGCAAAGCAAAAGTGACCGAGCAAGATGATGAAATGAAGGACAACTTTGGTGAAGAATTGAGTGGCTAGGATATTGTTAGTTGATTGAAGTATTTTATTATTATATTAAGATTTCATTTGCTTTGAGTACTTTGATTGAATAAGTTGGCATCGCCAACATGAGTAATTTAGGATTTATTATTGGATTCAGTTTAGGATTGGTTATGGTTCGGTTTTTAGGATTTATTATGGGAATTCAGTTTGTTGGATTTTGA